AATTCACTGTCAGTTTTTATTTCTATACACAACAATTTATTTGCCATACGGTAAATTGCAATGCTTTTCACAATCCACAATAAAATACATATTTACTTTTTCAAAATTGTATCAAATGTGAATGTTCAGAGATTCGTAATAGGAAAACTGTATTATTTTACTTTGTGTTGCAATATATTTTTGTAGGATTTGAAAAAAAAATTGTAAATTAAGTTTCCCGCCATAATATGCATAGTAGTGGCGCATGTAACTATTACTAACCTTATTTTTTTTTACGTTTTTTGACTTTATTGAAACGCGAAATGAATATATAACTTCTTCCCTCTGTGTGACTTCTTGTAAAACATAAACTATTAGATCATAAGCAATGAATTCCTTACAGGAAGATCGTAGCACTATACAAATTGATTCCGTGTTTTTCCTATGCCTTTAAAGAAAAAAGAACAGTTTATCGGACCATTTACGGAATTAATCTAAATTACCCATAATCCTCTAATCTCCCTATAATTGAGACGTCGTACACTAACAATCTAAGTGCCATTTAAACCGAAATCCTAACCTTAAATTTAACCATCAAGCTGTGACTGCGTAGCTCGCAAACCCATAGCACTACCTAAATTGGCAGCAATATTAGCAAGATTGTTTCAATATTATCCGCAACGTTTCTGTTATATTGCTGCAATATTATACTATTCAGACAATGTGACCAACATGCCTGCAAATTTCAAGTATTGTGGTATAGCACATGTATAATATTTATGTACTCATTGTACGTCATTATATCAATAAGTTATTTTTTATATATGAATATAGTTTACTTTATTTTTACATTCAATGTTAATAAAACCAATAAATAAAAGTGTTAAAGGTAACTATTGTTATTGTTTATTTACTCTCCCTGCATATGCAGGGTTCGAGACTCCCAAGAACATACATAAATCAACTTATTGTATATTTACAAAAATTCTTACAACTAAAACACAACTCATACAACTTAATATCGCAACTTAACATATCCTCAACTTAACCTACTCGCATCTCTCTCTCTCTCTCTCTCTCTCTCTCTCTCTCTCTCTTAACCTCTTAATTCGCCAGTGCCGGGCTTCCGTTTCCAGTTCCTTTTCATGCCCATGCTGGCCTCGTCTCATCTTGCCCACCCCTTTTTTTTACTTTAACCCTATTTCCATCTTTAACCAATCCATTCAATACTATACTCTCTTCATTTACTCTATCCTGCTCCTTATGCTTCAATCACTCCACCCTTATCCTCCCTCACACAATACTTTACACCATCCACCCAAATACAATATTTACCCATTTTTACCTGCTTCCTATTCACTCTCTCAATCCACGCTCTTTCTCTCAATAACCACATCATTCTTCTCTCTCTCCAGCTTCTATCCTCATCTATTCTTATCACACTTCCTTTCAGTCTTTCTTTAACCCTTATCACATCCATTTTCTCTTCCTCACTACCCAACTCCACCAGCCATAACTTTGGTACACCATTCTCACCCATTCCTATCGCTTTCACCGTTTTAACACTTACACTGACCCCCACCCACGCCAACACTTTTTCCACCTCTCTTTTACCCTTCAACACCCCTACATTCATGCCTGTGATCACTACATTCTTTTTCCTTTTTTCCTGCTCCACTACATCCACTCGTCTCAATAAATCTCCCATTTTCTACTTTAACCTGTCATAATCACTTCCATCAACTTTCTCTATCCCTTCATTCACTTCCCTTACAAATTTTTCTAATCCATTCATTCTTCTCCACATGCTCTCCTTTTCCTTTTTCCACTTACTATCCCATTCATTCCACATTTCCTGCAATTTCTCCAACCTCTCTTCAATTTCCTCTATCTCTTTGTCCCTTGTTTCCCCATCCTCACATATATCCATCAAATTTCCCTTCACTCTCTTAACTCCTTCATCCATCGCAACCTTCAACATCCATACTAATTCTAACAAATCCATGCAATCCTCACACGTCATCTTTTTTCCATTCTTTCTATTCCCCTTTCAAATACTCGCGCCTTTTTCTCTCTCTCGCTTACACTACTTGAGTCAGACTCAGCCATTCCAGAAACGTGTATATCAAAAAATTAGTCAGAGAAACAGGCGCAATGCGCCTACATCATAGGGTTTCGTGGCCTAAAATGACAAAAAAATAAATAAATAATAATTTATTTAGAAATTCTTTTTGTACTTAAGGGGATGTCAAAGTCGATTGGATTTTTGCATTGAGCTTCAATGGGAAAATCGCATCGACTTTGACATCCCCTTAAGATTGAAATTTTTTTTATTACCATAGTAACGGTTGCCATGACAACGGTCGTTATGGCAACCATTAGTATATCAACGGTTGCCACGGCAACGGTTATTATTATGGCAAATATGAACATAGCAACAGTTGTTATGGCAACCATTAACATAGCAACGGTTGCCATGGCAACAGTTTTTATATTGTCTTAAGACTTAATACATAAGACTTAAAACTTAAGACGTAAGAACTACGGACGGACACCGAAATCTCGCTATAAGGGTTTTGGCCCTTGGCCACGAAACCCTAAAAACGAAGAAACTGCACAAACGCGGGCGCAGGCGCGCCACAAAGTTTCGAATTTCCCTAAACTGTTTGGGAATTAATCTAAGGACTCTTGCACTGAACAATCCGTTTTAACCCATTAACGCCTAACTCGTGAAAATTCTTTGGTCATTTTCAAGTTACGTAATTATAAATAAAACGGTTGACAATTTATACCAGAGGTACATTTTCTAAAAATTTTGGATGTGCTCTTTCCGATTCCGGTGTCAAAAATAAATTTCATCCAAACCAAAATTAAATATGTCGGTTTTAATGTCAAAAAACACACAAAAAATTCATTTTTCAAGTTTGACATTTTTTTCACCTCGAAAAAGTGTAAGAATAAAATTCTATTTTCAACGATCGGTGCATAAAAATTATACACTCTTGAGAAAAGTAAAGTAGAATTTAAAATTTCAAGATGGCGGACCAATATGGCGTCAAATCTAAAGTAAAATTTGAAAATTTTGGGCAATATTCTTCATATTGCCCAAAAGTCAATGGATTCGCCTGAATTTTGTTACTCGGGGGTTTTTTGGTGTCGCTGATTACGAATATGAACTTTATTTTCAAAAATTCAAAATGGCGGACGAGTTTTACGAAAATTCATCGAATTCATTTGAAACTTGTCACTCGATGGTTTTTTGGGGTCGCTGATTACGAATATGAAATTTATTTTAAAAAATTCAAAATGGTGGATTCAATATGGCGGACTTATTTTTTAAAATTGATATTTTGCACTGTAAGAATAAATGAAACTAAAAAGCAAATGCTTTTCATTGGAATAAATATAAAAATATTAAATTAAAACAAGTGTGAAAGAAATAATAATTTTTTCTATGCTACTTTACTTTATCACCCTTGTATCAAGTATATAAACGCTTAATAAAACAACAAGTGAATTACCCCAGGATTATGAAAATCAATTTAAAAACTTGATATTTTCAACGCCCACGATAAGCACACGCAAGTCAAAAACTAAAAAGCCTCATTAATCATCAAGTTGTTTATTATACATATATATGTATATAGTATAGGGATAATCATTTTGCAAATAGAAAACTAGAATTTGAGAACCACTGAGCGCAGCTGCCGCGGCGGCGGTATCTCCGCGTTGTCTGCTCCCTCACACCCTCGCCTTTTGCGTCCCACGTGGGTGACGGTCGAAGGGGTCGCGAGGCGGAATGAGGTTGACGAGGGACGTTCAGGGAGGAGGGAGGGGACAGTTACAGGGTCTCTGTATATGTGTCTGCTTGTGTGTGACAACGACGACACGATGGCGCGGGCAAGGGCGAGAAGCAGTGGGATCACGACAAGAGGTGCGGAGAAGGGTGGGTAAAAGGGGAGGGAGGGGGGGGTTAAAATAGGGTTGGGTGAGAGGAGTTTCGGGTGGGTGGACTGAGGGGACAGGGGCGACATCACACTATGCCACCCACTGACCATCTCTCTACCCTAACGCCTAGCTGAGCGCTATACGTGTTTTCACAAAAAAAAAAGAAAGAAAGAAAGAAAGAAGATTCCGCTTGTCTCTCTTCTCAGTATCCCCTTGACGTCAGTATAGGTGTGGTGAGGGGCGAGGTGGAGTAGAGAAAGAAGGGTGATGACACTTGTCTCTCGCCTCCTCTCACTCCTCTGCCCCTCTCCGACCTTACCTTGGTTCGTTACGATGGCGCGTTATCTTGCGAAAGAATCGTATATGAGAAAGAGGAAAAGAGAAAAAGAGAGAGAGAGAGAGAGAGATGCTACTTTTCCCGCGAATTCGGTTAGCGGGAAATGAGTCGAATTGGATGGTTAGATGGTATAAGAAAGAAATAGTAAAAGAACGAGGGGGAATTTTATGAAGTCGATGCTCCACATTCGATTGATCGCTTCGTGTATTTTCTCATTTTCTATAGAAAAAAAAATACCACTCACTTTTTTCAATTTTCCTAATTTTTCAATAAATTTAAGTTCCGTATTTATTTTCTGTTTCGACAGTGATACAAAAATCAATATTAACAGAATTTTTCTAATAAATGTTAATAAACTATAGGGTACCTAATTGATAAAAAAAATAAATTTTGGGTCGATAGTCGCGTTGAAGATGCGCGCGCCACCAATTTGAAATTTGTATACTATATATACACATACGTGAAGGGAGTAAATAAAACATTAATGTGTAGGAAGAAGTTCCATTAGCAGTCAGCTGATCGGTAAAAGCAACGCTCTTTTTGTCAAGGTCGTGCCTGCCGGTGAAAAGAATGGGCGGCAAATATATTTTCTGGAGGTTATATTGCGCATTTCGACTAGTTACGCTTGTCTCAAGTGCTCCCCTCTATTTCCCTCGTAGTCCTTCTCTCTCTCTCTCTCTTGGATTATTATCCTCTCCTTTGTATATAAACGGTGAAAATGTCGCTTGCGCGTTAATCAACTCGCAGTTAGGCGCCAAACTTATTATGCAACTTGACGAGGGGAGGGGACACGAGCCAAAGCACGTGTTTACAGTTGAATATACTCTACGGCTGACGTTTAATGTGGGTTTCTATGCCGAATATTATCATTATTTTCCTCCTGATACAAATATTCTTGTTAATCGATAAAAATATTGTGTAGAGTTTTACTTTATCGTGCGATGGTTATAGTTGTAATATAGAAAACTGCATTATCGAGGTTAGACAGAATATTTTACCAGTGGTAGGTAATTGGAATTTGGGACTTTGTAAAGCAACGCCTTCTTAGCGGTTAAAATACGAACTAGAAGGAAACATGATAAATTGATAACTCTTACCATTGCCGCATAAGGGTAACTATCAAACTATGAAAATGTGAAATTGTATATTCTCTTTATATTTCAAATGAATTTATAGTTTATAACAATTTTTAAATAAATATTCTCTCACATCATTTAGTAGACTCATTGACTTATCCTCCTCTCCTAAATTAGATTTAATTCTGAAACTAATTAAAAGCGAGATACAGGGCTATATTTAAAAAGGTATCAATTTTGACGTAACACTGCTTTAGAGTTAATTAAATAGATTTTATCATTCATATGTATAATACATAGATTTAGAATTGTTATAGAAAAGAACGTTATAAAAATTAATAAAGATTAACTCTACAAATATTTATTTTCAGCCAGAACGAATACGATCGCCAACATGGTTGATAACCTTCCAAAGAGGCAACAGTTTCGAGTGCTCCTCTCTTTTGGTAAGTCTACTACTTGGTCAGGGGTATAATGCTTATGTCGTGAGTGGATATGCATCAAGAGAACAGGTCAAATGTGACCAAACCAAAAGTCCATGTCCTTTTGTCATGAATGAAGAAGAACCACCAACACTAGACCAAATAATCGACACATCGAAATATCAATTAAAACCACCACCAGATTTTCAAAGTCAATTTGAACGTGAAATGGAGTTAGAGGAACAGAAGGTACTTAATGATGAACTACAAAGACAAGAGGAGCAGAAAGAATTTGAAATTAGGGAATTTGAGAAACCACCGTTTGATAAATATCATGGACATCGAATCCATTCCTGGGTGGTTATTCTACCAGATGCTGGAGGACCTAGAGGTCATGAAGTAACAGAACCTTTTTTTATCGAGTCATCCTCGGGCGTTGCCTACTCACTAGAAGATCCAAAGACAAATCTTCTCTACTTAGGAGTCGAAAGTATCTGGAACGATACCAACTACTGGGTTAATATGCAAAAAAAACACAGCGAATGTCAACAAATTAATTGGAATTTAAGTAAAGTCGAATTTTGGGAGCATCTACTACCTGGTGAGCCTTGGACTATGAGAGGAATTGATGATGCAGATCAAGAGGATGATAAGGAAATGTTGATTGCCCAGGAAAAGCATCTTGATATGCCAGGATCTTACGTACAACAAATAGAAATTCCCAGTTTAGGTAATTTTAAAAATTATTTTCAATCCCACAGTGTCACACTTTTGAATATTAATTATATAAATTATAAGGTATTTACTATAGTATATTATTTATTTATATTATATAGTAATATTTGAAAATGAAATAATTTAATGAATAATAAAGATTTCGAGAGACGCTATCCAAATGGTAAAAAGATTGTTTACTTTAAGAAAAGTAAAGTTGAACTATTCGCACCTTATTTCAATGAAAATGGTCTAACAGAACGTGTAACAATTTATGAGGACTATGAATACACGTGTCCTATTTATGCTTATGAGAAATATTCAAACAGAGTCGATAAGCTAGTAAGAAGCGAGAAAGATTTGGATTCGAATATGGTTAATGACTACTACGATAGAGGACGTCTTGATGCTTGCAAAGGTTTTTGAATATTTTAAAGATTATTTTTACATACTTCATTTTTTCAAATCTATTTTGATGAATAAGTAATAACAAATTGGAATCTCACATTACTTTTAGTGCATTGCTACTACGCTCAATCAAATGATAAAGTTGAGGATGAAAGAACAATCGTATTTTATGATACAGTTCGTCTTGATGGACTTTCGAGACTCAAAATGCATCCTGAATTTATGATAGTCGATTATGTGAATCGAGAAGATTTTCTTAATAAACGGTAAGGCAATTTTAACAAAATTAAATATATTTTACATAAACAATTTTTATTTAATTGCCACTGTTAATTGCTTCTAATTATACAATGTTTAGAAGCACAAGTTTTTAATAATCATTAATAATTAAAAGAAAAATTAAATAATCATTTTCAATTATTTCTTCAGTGAGGTTCAGTACTCAACAGATAAAGATTCTGAAAATGTATCTAATTATCGAGAAATTGAAGTGAGTGGTGTGAAATACTATACAAACATTAAAAATGCGTGTTTACTAATAAATATTTTGCTCTAATTTACAATATTATTTGTCATAGAAAATAACAGAAACATTTCATAGAAATGAAATAATTCCAGCTGAGAAAGACATAGCAATAAGGGAATTTGCAATTAAAGAAAATGAAATTCGATTAAAGTTTCATTACAATGAAGGCCAGTACACAAGAGGAACACGAACATTTGTCAAACCATCGGTATCTGAAAAATGTGAACGCTTCGTTTTCAAACGAGAAATGGTTTTTGAATATAATGTAATCAAATTTTTAATAATTTCTAATCGTTATTAATAAAAACTTATAGAACTTAATAATTATTATTAAAAATTTTTTTAAAACAAAATTTCAGCCTGATCCTATGGCAACAGTTAAAAAGTCTTTAGATCTTTATAACGAACTACAAATTCAGTTAGAGGAAGAGGAGAAAAGTTGTTTTCGAGTAAGAGACGTAGAGGTAGAAATAAAAAATTTCATAAAAATACAAGGAGACGAAGTTTTCAATCCCAAATTGTCTGTGTCAATTTTCGATAGAAGCAGAAATGATAAAGCGAAATATGAAATTCTCGAACAGGTTTTAAAATTATAATTTTCTATTTATAAATTAGTCACTTTATTACAGGGCTCGAACCATAATGAAAGTATATTTAAAAATACGGATTTTACGGACCAAGAATAAAAAATTACGAACCATTTACGAACCAATTGTTACTGACAAAAATATAACCTGTCCGAGTCAAATAAGAGAATATTTTACTTAAAAGTAGAAATTAAATTTTTCATAACTATAAAATATAAAGATGTTCTATAATAATTTTTTTATTAAAGATTTTTATTTATTTTTATTAAAGACTACTGATAAAATCATTATTTTATATTATAATTGTATTTCTTCAAAATTATTTTCATCACTTCAATTTAAATATTACTTTCAAGAATTTTTAACTAAAATTCTTTTGGGGTCATCCATATACCACGTGGACAGTTTTTCAAAGATTTTTGACCCCCCCTCCCCCCTTGTGGACACAAAAATACATGGGATCGTGGACATTTTCAAACTTTTTTTACCCCCCCCCCCCCTCTCCCCCCAAAAGTGTCCACGTGGTATATGGACGACCCCTTTTTAAATCAATTATTTTTAATATTTTTCGAAAAAGTCTTCTTTGACAATTTTCAAATCCATTTGTTTACAATATTCAATTTTACCAAATTTCAATTATTCATAAATTCTTCAATGAAACATATATATATATATATATATATATATATATATATATGTTTCATTGAAGAATTTATGAATAATTGAAATTTGGTAAATTTTAATTATATATATATATATATATATATATATATATATATATATATATATATATATATATATATATATATATATATATTAGAAAATAACAACTTCAAAAAGTTTCAAAAACAATTCAATTAAACCTTTTGATAAAAATTAATTTCACAGAATTGTTAGTTAAAAATATATAAAAAATTCAGATTTTCAAAGATTTTAATTTGAAACCTTTTCAGAATTCAATTATTTCTAAAAATTCTATGCTACAATGCTTCTAATATTTAATTATTATCTATAAAATTTTAACTGAAATTCATTTTTAAATCAATTTTTATTAGAAAATTCAACGAGAATTCAATTATTTAAATATAAAAATTAATAACTTATTGAATAATTGAATGTTTCTTTAAATTGAATTCTTATAAAGAATTTTACCAACAAATTTTTAAGAATAATTACATTTTTCGAGGAATTTTATATTAAAATGTATTGTATTAAACATAATTGAAATTCTGCAATGAGTTTTATTATTTATGAAAATAATTGAAATTTTCGCAAGAATTTTATTAAAATTTTTAAAAATAATTGAATTGATAAGAAGAATTTTATAAAAATCATTTGAAATAATCGATTATTTTTGAAAAATTTTATTAAAGTTGTGTTTGTTTTGAAAATAATTAAATTCCTGTGAAAATTTTATTATTTATGAAAATAATTATTGAATTCTTAAGAAGAATTTTATTATTTACGAAAATATTTAAATCGCTGTAAAAATTTTATACTATTTATGAAAATAATAATTGAATTGTTGCAAAAAAATTTATAAAAAATTGGAAAATCATTGAATTTATGAAAAGATTTTCATCAAAAAATTTGATAATAATTTAATTTTTTCGAAAAAATTTATTATTTATAGAAATAATTGAATTTTTGGGAAAATTTTATTAAAATTTTTGAAAATTCTAATTTAATTCTTTTGAAGAATATCTTTGAATTTTTTTAAAATAATGGAGTTTCTTTGATAATTTTAATTGCAAATTTTCAAAGTAATTGAATTTTATATAAACAATTTCTTTCAAGTTTTTACAATAATCGTGTTTCTTAATAATTGAAATTAAACATTTAATTCTTGAATTTTATTTAAATTTTTAGAAAATAATTGAATTCTTTCGAAAAATTTCTTTAATTTATTGAATACAATCGAATTTTTTTAATGATTGCATTGAAAATAATTGAATTCCCAAAAAGAATTTTATTATTTATGAAAAATAATTGAATTCTTACGGATGAATTTTACTACTTATAAAAATAAATGAATTGTTTCGAAGGATTTATTAACATTTTAGAAAATAATTGAATTATTTCGAAAAATGTTATTAAAAACATTTTTATAAATTGAATTCTTTCATGAAATGTTATTAAAATTGTATTAGAAATAATTTAATTTTTGGGTACAGAATTTTATTAAAATTTTTGAAAATAATTGAATTTCGGAGAAGAATTTAATTATTTCTAAAGATAATTGAAATTTTGATGAGAATTTTTAAAAAATTTTTACCATAATTGAATTTTTGCAAAGAATTTTATTACTTTTGAAAATAATTGAATTTTTGCAATTATTTGGAACTTTTCAAAAATTCTCCAAATTATATCGTTAAATTTACGAACTTTTATTGCTTTTTGAATCGAATTACGAACTTTACGGACCTTTTTTTTTTTAAATAAACTGACTTTCACGGGCTTTAAACAAATTTACGGACTTTTACAGGATTTACGAACCTATAGTTCGAGCCCTGACTTATATAATTTCTTTTAATTTTTTCCTAACAAGAGAAAATTAAATTAATACTTTTTTTAAGCAGTAAAAAAAATTTTAATAACTTTTTCTAAAATTTTCGAATTTCTTGGTTGGATAAAATTTTTTTAATTTTTAAGGAAAAACTAATGAAAGCTGAAATTGAAAAAGAAAGAGAAGAAGTGATTGATTCGTTAGCACCTTATGTGGAGAAACTTGGTAGACCATTAGCATTTACAAAAGAGGAAGCATTAAAACTAAAGGACGAGTTTCTTAACGACTTTAAACAGACGCAAGTCAATCGTGCGAATCAAATGCTTCAAAAAATTAATCAAGGAAATCAAGATCTTCAAAAAATGCAGGCCAACTTAACTCAGGTATTTAAAAATTTGTTTCAAATAATTTTTATTTTGAGTCCTCATTCCTCCGGAGAATCCGTCTTTAAGATGCATGCATCCGTCTCAAGAAAATTCGAATTGTTTTCTACATTAATGTTACCAATTATTTTAGGACGAGGATATTACAGCTGAAGAAAGGGAAAATCTTAGAACGAAAATTGACGAAATGAATATTTATCTTCTCACATTAGAGGAGAGATTGGAACGTCATCAAAAATTAATTCCCGAAAGATATAAAAGAATGATAAACATTCTCGAGGAAGATGAGAGATTTTTTGTATTACGCAAATTACAAACACCGAAATTTCAATAAGTAATGGTAATCTTCTTTTTTTCTCTTTATTTACAAAAAATGTTTGTTTTCAAGAATTTTTTTTTTATACAATCATTATTGAAAGGACCAGGAACCCATTTGTCCGATGCAGCGTCCTGAAAAAAAAAATTTTGTATCAACTTAAAAATAAGAAAAATTTTCAGAATAAATGTTTTCAAATTTTTTCAAATAATAAATAAATTGGTAAAATAAATAGATCATATTTATTACCTTCGTCGTCAAAAGTCGCTAAAGTGAATTTGCTCAATTTATTTGTAAAACTTCCAACGTTCGGCACAAGGAATCCATTTTGCACGCGGTTCAGATTTTCGCCATTCGATTCCATTTTTCGATTTTCCTCAATAAATCCGGATATTAAAGTGTCCATCATAATCGCCTGTGATAATGGAAAGATTGTTAAATTTTTGTGTACTTATTTTTTATTTTACTCCACAACCGTTATTCTATAACCCCCTAAGATCATGTTTTGCATAGAGCATCAGAAAGAATTAAAAATAGTTGAAATTTTTTCTTTCTCTACCTGTTTGGAGAAAACTTGAAGAATTTTATAAACTTGGGTTCCATTTTCCCTGACGGAAAATTGAAGGAAAAGGCAAGGCAAACAATCGGAATTTCCTTCGTCGGAGGGTTTTGCCATTTCCCAACTTAATTCGGAATATTTCAGTCCTAGTAGAAGGCTCTGCCAGAGAAAAAAGTAAATTATCGTTTATGATATGGTCAAAAGTTTATTTATGGTCAAAAAATGTGTTTAATGTTGAAAATTTGTTTATAGATAATTAATTTCAACTTACACATTGGGCATCATCGACAATGTAAACACCATTGGTATTTATGGCAATTAATACAGGAAGATCTCTGTTTGTAATCCACGAAGCTAAACCTCGCACTGGACATTCGATTTGCCCTTGAAAGAATGCTGCACCATAGCTGGGCAAACCCCAGCAAAATTCCAAATATTTCCTCATAAGTTTACGTGGATTTGTATTCATTCCAGTGTGATTGGGAATTTTTTTGTACTGCTCCAAAAGTCTTGCTTCAGGTGCTCCTTTACCACCGACGAGGCCCAAACCAAAACCAAGACCAAGTAAAAAATTTGGTGAATTATAATGATGGGGAAGAAATCTTCCTCTGTGCTTGCGGAAAAAGGCCAATGTGTGTGTTTGTGAATTATAAGGCCCAAGTTCAATGCGTGCTTGCAATGCTCCTAAACTCGCATATCTTGCCTGACCCTCACAAGGACATCTACCTGAAAAAAAAGAAATATACAGAAATTCAACAAAATTACTAAATATTTTTGATTCTCTAGCTAAAATGACTGAACCACTTTCATTTTCAGAAATTCTGATTGCTATTCAAGTTACCGCTAGCAAAAGTTATCGAGACTTATTCTTTAAATTGTTGGGGTCAAAACAGTTTCTGGACGTCACGGTACTTGAGATACAGCAGCGTAAAGATGATATCAAAATTTTCAGATGCACAAATTGTTAAGCAACATTATTATAATCCATTCCCCAGAGGGTTAAATTTCGCGTAAGAACGAATCGAATATCCGCAGGTGAATATTCAGAGCATTGCATTATGATAAGAATAGTTGACCCCTCGACTGATTATAGGCAGATGGTAACAAAGAGGCACGTGTTAAAATTACATTAATTTTAGGTATTAAAGTAAAGTGCTTTAGATAATATAAAAACTTTAATTTTAAACATTTAAATAAAAAAAATTATTCGTCACGAGGATGTGACAACAATATACTCAAATAGTGAACTCGAAAGGCAAATTATTGGTTAGATATTCAACTTTTTAAACTTTACTTCCCAGTATTAAAATAAATATACCGTTGAGTAAAATTTTTCTACTATTATTTTGTTTGCATTTTTTATTTTTCTACAAAAACAACATTTATGAAACACTTTATACATATATATTTAATTGACATTGGATGACACTCAACCTTTCAAGTATTTCGATGTTCGCTTTGTTTTCAGTTAAAACATAGTAAATAAATATAAAGTGTCTTACTTATACTTATTGTGATAATTTAACAAAAGAAATCAATAGTACCATCAATGTATTTTACTTCTATTGTACGCAGTTTCGCTCTATTCTGATCAAAAGAAAATGACAAGTAAAGATTTTAAATGTAAGTCCTAAATGATAAGACATTTACAATAAGCTAAATATCTAGCAGAAAGTGAAAATTAAATTAATCATTTACTGCCATATTATTTATAAGGGAAGTTGTTAGATTCTTCAGCAAGTGAAAGACAAGTTTAAAATAGTTGGTAATTCTTTGTAAACTAATGAAATTATATAAGACAATTCAATTAAAAATAATAATAATATAATATGATTTAAATGTTATTATAATGAACATTATGAAGTTCACTATTCAAACTATTGTTATAGCATTTGTATGCTTAAATTTTACCATCCACGAAATAACAGTTAAAGCAACTTCTACATGGATAGGCGAATTGGCCACAATCTTAAATCGGTCTACCAAAATGAATCAAGTACTTATGTTATACAGTGATAATTGTAACAATTATCTCATGCATCAAATGGTAAACAATATTGCAAGAAAGACACCAACACGACTTATTGATTTTAAAAACTTTACGAACGGGAACAGTTATAGTTTGAAGCTACCTGCAAATTTACTGGAGTCAACAATTGTCATCATCATTCCTTCAAGAAATATACACAGAAATTCAACAAAATTACTAAATATTTTTGATTCTCTAGCTAAAATGACTGAACCACTTACATTTCCAAAAATTCTAATAGCCATTCAAGTAACAGCAATCAAAAGCTATCGAAACTTCTTTAAATTGTTGTGGTTAAAACAATTTCTGGACGTCACGGTACTTGAGATTCAACAGCGCAAAGAAAATAAGAAGATATCAAAATGTTCAGATGCACAAATTGTCAAGCAACATTCTTATAATCCATTCACTAAAAAATGTACTAAAACATCATTCTCAGAGAACAGCATTCTCTTTCCGAGCAAGATTCGTAATCTCAACGGATACAAGATGAAGGTGGGTATGTTTCATTATCCACCTTATGTCTACATTAAACGGAACATTACAGGGCATGTGGTAAGTGCTAATGGGCCAGAAATAAACTTGGCAATAGCATTGTCTGATGTTTTAAACTTCACCTTAAAAAAGATAATTTACAATAACACAAACTGGCTTGCTGTACGTTGCGTCAAAGAAAATAATGTTGGGTTTTTGAGAAGCATTATTAATAACGAGATACAAGTGCTCCTTCCACAAACCATTATATTTGATACTTGTTTTAATAATTTTGCCCTTATCACTCGAGGTACAAGATTCTTACCTCTTATTTTCGTAGTACCAATTTTGCCAACTGAAGCTGTATTTTTAAAAACTGAAAGTAATTTACGTCAAATGATGATCGTATTTTGTATATTTTTGTTACCCTGGTTAATGGCCAAGTTCCTCAATTTTGATCGACATTACTGGAAATTTATGTACACACTTCAGATTGCTTTTGGATTTCCATCACCGAGAAATCCTAAAGAAATTAAAGAAAGACTAGTATTTCTATCAGTTCTGACTTTCTATTTTTTACAGTCGTCATACATCTATACTGTATTTTCAAATTTCCAACTGCAAAAGGAATCTTCAATAAAAATGGAAACATTTGACGATGTACTTGCTGCGAATTTCACTGTTATTTCACATTCAAATGTCGATCAGTTTAAAGTAATGAAACCTGATGAATCTTTTTTGAAGTTAATGAAAAATTCAATATATTCAGATAAATCATTTAAATATTGTACAATTTCTTTAATAGATCATAAAAATATATCTTGTCAAGGAAGAGAAGATGCCACTCAAATGATTATTCAAGAACATAGAAAAGCGAACAATTCAGAAAGCATGAAAATTTTGAAAGATATCCAAGGAGTGCATACAAGTGGTATGTTTCTGTCAGGTGGATCGCCGTTAAAATATCGAATTGAGAAAATAACATTATCTCTAGTGGAAGCAGGTATCAGTAATAAGTGGGATGCGGCTTTCTCAAAAAATAATTTAATTTGTCGAAATCAAGTCGATTTATTTAAGCAGAATGGGTCCTTAATTTTCAAGGCCTTAAATTTAATGATCATGCTGCTTCTTTTTGGATATTCACTTTCGTTGATTGTTTTCGCTTTTGAAATGTTATTCTATAGGTATTTTAATAATTACGCGGAGAAAATTTATCACTTATATTTTACCGGATTTTTATACAACGTTGGGATATAGTAAATGTTTGCTGAGTTGGAGGGATAATACGGAAGTGGAATAAGAAATGTGAGGTCATATTTTCAAAATTCAAAATGGCGGATCCAATATGGCCGTAGGCGTAGCTAAAACTTTTGCTCTAAATTAGGTAGACCACTTAAGTATGATCATCAAATCGAATATTATGTTGGCAACAATTAACAGAGATTAAATAAAAAATATCAAACACATGTTTTACCTTCCAAAACATTGTGCCTGGCTTCTGCGTAAAGTAACTCGAGAATTTTCGGCTCCTTTATTTGTTCCTCGTCGTGTCTTGATAAAAAAACATTCCTCCTGAAATAAAGAACAGGCTCCTCATCCTCTTTTCCACTTTGTGATCCATGTTTAGTCACTAATTTTCGCCACTTTCCCGCCAATTCCAAAGGTCTGGAGAATCAATAAAATTACTATTACAAAGCAAATAAAAAACTTCTGATACTTTTCATACAAATTTTGACAATAAAGTAATATTTAAACTAATACATCAAGAGGCTTCGTACTCATCTACTGAAAATTACTATTTACTACTTTTTTTACAATTTGATACTGTTTGGATACTTTTTTAGATTTATGACACTAAAAACTACTTTTTTCTTTATTTTTGGGAAAAATTTGCATCACTTCAAATTCGCTAATAGTTGAAATAAAAAAAAACCTCTAAAAATTGTAATTCAAAGTTCTTTAAAACAATTCAATTATTCTCAAAAACTTTTCAAAAATCAATTATTTTCAATATCTATACAATTTTAATGGAATTAAACAAGAGATGTTTGATGAAATTCTTTGCGAACATTCAATTCTTTTATAAGTAATAAAATTTTCACAGAAATTTAATTATTTAAAATATTTCATAAAATTTTTTAAGGAAAATCATTTAAAATAGTTATTATAAAATTCTACAGCAAGAATTCAATTCTTTTCACAAGCAATAAGATTTTTCATAAAAATTCAATTATTTATAAAAATTTAAATAAACTTCTTCACAATTATTCAATTATTTTCACAAAAAATAAAATATTTCACGAGAATTCAATTACTTAAAAAAAATTGTATAAAATTTTACAGCAAGAATTCAATTATTTTCATAAATAATAAAATTCTTCTTAGAAATTCAATTATTTTTTAAAAAATTGATAAATTCATTCTTTAATTCTTCACAATTATTCAATTATTTTCCCAAATAATAAAATTTTTCACGAGAATTCAATGATTTAAAAAAAATTGTAATAATATTCGTTCTGAGAATTCAATTATTTTCTTAAATAATAAAATTTTTTAATTATTCAATTATTTAAAAAAAATTTTTTTTTTTATTTTTTTAAATTCATAAATTTTTTTTTTAATTCTTCACAATTATTCAATTATTTTTCCAAAGAAAAAAGAATGTAAGAATATTAAATAAAGAAATAAATAATAAAATTGTTCACGAGAATTCAATTATTTAAAAAGAATTAAATAAAATGCTTTACAAGAATTCAATTATTTTCATAAATAATAAAATTCTTCTTAGAAAATTAATTATTTTTTTAAAAATTGCTAAATTCTTTCTTTAATTTTTCACAATTATTCAATTATTTAAAAAAAAATTAAATAAAATTCTTCACAAAAATTTAATAATTTTTTTAAAAATAGATAAATTCTTTCTTTAATTCTTCACAATTCTTCAATTATTTTCCCAATGAAAAAAGAAATGTAAGAATCTTAATTCAATTATTTAAATAAAATTAAATAAAATTCTTCGCAAAAATTTAATTATTTTCATGAATAATACAATTCTTCTGAGAAATGCAATTATTTTTTAAAAAAGCTGATAAATTCTTTCTTTAATTCTTCACAATTCTTCAATTATTTTTCCAATGAAAAAAGAATGTAAGAATCTTAATTCAATTATTTAAAAAGAATTAAATAACATTTTTTACAAGAATTCAATTATTTTCATAAATAATAAAATTACTTTAATAGAAATTCAATTATTTTTTTAAAAATTGATAAATTTTCTTTAATTCTTTACAATTATTCAATTATTTTTCCAAATAATAAAATTTTTCACGAGAATTCAATTATTTAAAAAGAATTAAATAAAATTCTTCGCAAGAATTGAATTACTTTTATAAATAATAAAATTCTTCTCAGAAATTGAATTATTGTTTAAAAAAATGAAATCGTTGAAAATTTTAATTGTTGTAAAACTGTCATAACATTTAAATTTTTACTGTGAAAAATTATTAATTTATTTTCTTAATTTTCTGTAAACAATTTAAATTAAATTTTATATTTTAATACAAATTGTATTTTTTAGGATAAAAATTTGAAAAATAATTGAATTTTTTAAAAATTTAGAATTAAAGTTTTCAGCAGGATTAGAATAAAAATAAATATTTTTGATTGAAATCAGAAAACAGTCAAGGAAATACTGAATCAAATTTTTGTCAATCGACTAAAACAATTTTTTTTTATTCGTTAAAATTAATTTTCGATAGCTACTTTTTTTTATTTATTATTAAAGCTACTTTTTGATAATTTTTAAATTTTTAAACATTAATAATTGAGTATAAAGCCTGCAAATAATACTTATAGTTATTTAATAAAACATTGAATTTAACGATCATTCCGAGTCTGTTTACTGACTCGGAATGATCGTTAAATTCAATGTTTCATTAAATATTTAAAGCAACCGAATGACAAAATCATATAATTTTTTATTACAGTTATATTTAAATACTAATTTAATATTAGTAAACATATTTCAGTTTTTTTTAACAGTTAATAAATATTAGCCTTCTAACCTATGGGTTGGTTGTAATTGAATCTCCAATTGCGAGGAACAAAGCCAAACTGCAAAAATTGATGAACCAACAGTCGTTGGCGATCTCATTAATCCCAAATCATTATCAGATTGAATGACATTAATAATTTGTTGAGCTGTCGCATTTTTTTCAACATCCATCGTCAATACGACCTCTGACATTAAATAAACAGCGATACAAACTGTCGATCGACTTTTAGACCCAGATAAAGTATTTGCTAAAATAAAAAAAAGAAATTTATTTTCTATTCAAATTCAAAAATCGAAAAATATTAGATTAAAAAAAATATTACCTATTTTTTTTTTGTTATTTAAAGAAAAACACACTCACGTGGTGACGATTCATTTTGATAACGACGAACAACTCGTCTCGTTCGACAATCTTCTTGAGGTTCCATTTTTCGAAAATTAATGATCCTCCAATGAATTTCTATCTGTTAGGTCACAAAGAATTCATCGAATAATGAATTTTTCTCCTCTGTACTTGACGATTTCATGTTTCCTTTACGACTAACATGTGAGCCGAAGGGGATGATTATTGATTTTTATAAGTTCACTCGTTGGCAGGCGTTTACGAGAGCCGCGATTTTTCAATTTCTCCTCATTCCTATCTCCGAGATTAAAACGAAAATTTTTAATTGTAAAATTATTTTTAAAATAAAAAAATTACTTAAAGTACAAAACTCAATTTTAGAATTTATTAAATTCTAAAATTGAGTTTTGTACTTTCAGTAATATTTCTATTTTAAAAATAATTTTACAATTAAAAATTCAAGAGAAAAAATAGACAATAAAAGAAGAATTCTAATTGAAAATATTTTTTTTATTTGTAAACGGGAAAGAAGAAAACAATAAACATTGTGAAAAATGTTCTCTTATTATTTAAAGCGATTAATATAACGTAATGTGAATATTTTTACAATATTTTACAGACATAATTGATTTTACACAAATTTGGGGTGAAAAAAAGATCGAAAATCTTAATTTTTCTCGTTTTATACTCAGAGTATAAAATTAATATAATCGCTATAATCTTATTATTATTATTAACATAATAATTAATTTTTAAGTTATATTAGAAAGTGGGGGAAAAAGAAAAGAAGATAATTTATAGAAATTAATCTTAATCGAGGGCATTTAAACTATGAATAGAATAAAATTAAATTAGATCGGCGACATTCATTGGCATTTCATCAATTTGCGTTGAATAATATTGTTCGATGTCTCTTAAAATTCGAATATCATCGGTTTTCACGAAATTTATTGAAACACCTTTCCTGCCGAAACGTCCGGAACGACCGATACGATGAATGTATAATTCACGATTATTTGGAAGATCGTAATTGATAACGAGCGAAACTTGTTGTACGTCTATTCCTCGTGCCCAAACATCGGTGGTGATCAAAACTCGGCTGCAAAAGAGAAAAACAGAATGTGAAAACGAAAATTTCATAAATTTTTATCCCTAATATTAAACTACTAGTTAATGGAATTTTATAAATTAAAAAATTTTATATTTTCAAGAATAAACATCAATTTTTGAATGATTACAGATTTAAAATTTAAAACATTTACTTACTAAGTACATAATATTAAATATTCTTGTTTATTTTTATTGAAAATTTTTAATAAAATTTCACGCAAGAATTTCATTATATTTATTTTCATAAATAATAAAATTTCTCGCAATAATATCATTATTTTCATAATTAATAAAATTTCTAGCCAGAATTTTGTTATTTTTATAAATAATAAAATGTTTCGGAGGAATTCAATTATTTTCAATACAATTTTAATTAAATTTCTCCAAAGAATACAATTACTTAAAAAAAATATTAATTAAATTCAATTATTTTCAACAATTTTGATGAAATCTTTTTTTAAAAAATCATTATTTTCAAAAATTTTAATAAAATTCCTTCAAAAAATATAATTATTTTTAAAAATTCAGATAAAATTCTTCGAAACAATTTAATTAATTTTATGAATTGTAAAATCCTCGGCAATAATTCAATTATTTTCATAAATAGGAAAATTCTTCGCAAGAATGAAAATATTTTCATAAATAAGAAAATTCTTCGCAAGAATGAAAATATTTTTATAAATAAGAAAATTTTACAAAAGGAATTCAATTATTTTCAATACAATTTTAATAAAATTTCTCGAAAAATACAATTATTTTTAGACATATTATTTAAATTCAATAATTTTCAAGATAAAAGAATTTTAATAAAAATTCAATTATTTTCAACAATTCTGATAGAAAATTCTTCGAAATAATTCAATTATTTTTATAAATTGTAAAATTTTTTGGCAAGAATTTTAATAAATTTTTTTAATAAAATTTCTATGGAAAAATTCAATAATTTATATTTAAAATAATTTTAATAAAATTTCTATAACAGGTTTAATTATTTTTTTTAAATTATAATAAAATTTTTCTAAACAATTCAATTGTTCTCAAAAGTTTTTAATAAAATTCTTTGTAAATTTCAATTATTTTCAAAAATAATAATATTCTTTGTAAATTTCAATTATTTTAAAAAATAATAAAATTTATTGTTCTTAGAAATTCAATTATTTTTTTGAAAATTGATAAATTCTTTCTTTAATTCTTCATAATTATTTAATTATTTTCTTAAATAATAAAATTTTTTAATTATTCAATTATTTTTTAAAAAATTGATAAATTCTTTTTTTAATTCTTCACAATTATTCAATTATTTTTCAAAAGAAAAAAGAATGTAAGAATCTTAAATAAATAAATAAATAAATAATAAAATTGTTCACAAGAATTCAATTATTTACAAAGAATTAAACAAAATTCTTTTCAAGAATTCAATTATTTTCATGAACAATAAAACTCTTCTTAGAAATTCAATTATTTTTCAAAAAATTCATAAATTCTTTCTTTAATTCTTCACAGTTCTTCAATTATTTTTCCAATGAAAAAAGAATGTAAGAATCTTAATTCAATTATTTAAAAAGAATTTTAATAAAAATCTTTCCAAGAATTAAATTATTTTCGATACAATTTTAAATACATTTTCTCGAAAGAATTCAATTATTTGAAAAAATGTTGATAAAATTCTTGAAATGAATTCAATTCTATTCAAATTTTTTTATAAATACTTAACAAAAATTCAATGATTTTCAGTAAATCAAAAATTTAATTATTTCTGAATATAATTGAATTCTTGAATAGAATTTTAATAAATTTTTTTAAAATAAATTGAATCCCTGTGAAAAAATTTATTATTTCTGCAAATAAATGAATTTTTACAAAATTTTAAAAAATAAGTGCTATTTTGAGAAGAATTTTATGAAAATTGTATTTAAAATAATTTAATTAATGGGAAAAATTTACTATTTATTGATGCAATTGAATTCTTACGCAAAATTTAAAAATAATAAAATTTTCCCTGGAATTCAAGTAAAATTGTATTTAAAATAATTAAATTCCAGCAAAAATTTTATTATTTATGAAAATAATTGAATTCTTGAATATTAAATTTTATAGAAAAGTTTTTAAAATAATTCAATTTTCTCGGAGAATTTTTATAAGATTTTTAAAAATAATTGAAATTTTCGAAGAAATGAATTTTAAAAATGGAATTGAAAATAATTGAAATTCGGATAAGAATTTTATTGTTTATATGAAAAATAATTGAATTTTCTTACGAAGATTTTTATTATTTATAAATTGACTATTTACAAAGAATTTGATTACAATTATTAAAAATAATTGAATTCTTCATAAAATTCAATTACTTTCAAAATTTTCAGTGAAAATTATTAAAACTGCATCAAGAAAATTATTTTTACAGTAATTTTTTTAGAAAATATTTGGACTCTTTTTAAATTTTTATTTTTCTCCAAAATTGTTCGATTTTAAAATTCATCCGTAATTTTGTAGAAAATATGTTTTTGTATCCAATGCAATTTTTTTATGGATATAAAAATATATTATTAATTATTAATTTATATTTTATCTACATCTTTTTTTTCTTTTTGAAAAATGGATTTTTATCAGCTTTTGAAAACTTAGTCGTCATTTAAAAATCTGTCTTTTTGCAAAATTTGAATGAGAAGGAAATATTTTTTATCAAAATACCTTTGTCCAGATCGGAATTCCTTCATGATATTGTCCCTCTCTTTTTGCGGCATATCTCCGTGCATTGAGCAAACAGTGAAATTTGCTTCTCGCATTTTTTCCGTGAGCCAATCAACCTTACGTTTAGTATTACAGAAAATAACTGCTTGTGTTATAGTCAATGTATCATAAAGATCGCAGAGTGTGTCAAATTTCCATTCCTCACGTTCCACAGCAACGAAAAATTGTTTAATTCCTTCAAGTGTCAATTCATCACTGAAAATAATAAATTAAAATCTCAATTTTTTTGTATTTTTAAAATTTTTATTTTACTCTTTATATATTAAGTTATAAATTTTATTTTATTAATTAATTAATAATTATCTTATAAGCACTTTGAAAAGTTATATAATTACCGTTTAACGAGAATTCGAATAGGATCAGTCATAAATTTTGAAGTCATTTCTAAAATTTCATGGGGTAATGTGGCAGAAACGAGGACAACTTGTGTCGCCGGTGGTAAATAACGATAGACATCGTAGATCTGCTCCTTGAATCCTTTGTTCAACATTTCATCGGATTCGTCAAGAACGAGCATTTTAATTGCTCTGGTTCTTAGCACTCGTCTTTTAATCATATCTGAAAAAAGAAAATTTGTAATTCTCATCACCAGAAAATAAATCAAAATTTTAAATAAAAATATTAGAAGATGATCCATTGAGTACAAGCCAACGGAGATAAAAAGATTTTTTTTTTTTGTAAACCTGTTTACAAAATTTTAACTCGAACTCCACGTCTTTTAAACTTAAAGAATAAAAAAATATTCACAAAGTAGCAGAAGATCTATTTTTAAAAAAAAATTTTTTTTTTATTTGCTTGAAGAATATTGAAAGGTGAAAAGAATCTTTACCAAAAACTCTTCCGGGTGTTCCGGAAACAACGTGTTGTCCATAATCGAGTCTTCTGATATCTTCGCCGAGATTAGTTCCACCAATGCAAACGTGACATTGAACGCTCATAAAATTACCAAGAGCGAGAACAACTTTTTGAATTTGTGTAGCGAGTTCACGTGTTGGCGACAGGACAAGAACTTGAGTTTCACGTACTTGAATATCGAGCGATTGTAAAATTCCTATTGAAAATGTCGCCGTTTTACCAGTTCCCGATTGTGCCTGAGCAATTACATCTCTACCCTTCATAATTGGCTTTATTGCTCTCTGCTGAATTGCCGAAGGTTTCTCAAAACCTGGAAAAGTGGAAATTTATTGCAAAATTAAATTTTTTTTATCAATTTCCATTTTTTCATTTTCTAAATTAAATATTAAAAAATTTTATATTCTTATTTTGAATGTTTTTATTTTTAAATATAAAGTTATAAGTTTAAGTATAAAGTTTCTTATCTAAATATATTTAAATATATAAAGTTTTAAGTTTATAAGTGTAAGGTTTTTAATTTAAATAACTATAGTTTTAAGTTTAAGTACCTATAAAATTTGTAATCTAAATATAAACTTGAGTTTAAATAGAAAATTTTAAGCTTAAGTATAAAGTTTTCAATTTAAATATAAAGTTTAAAGTTTAAGTAGAAAGTTTTTAATTTAAGTAATTATAAAGTTTTAAGCTTAAATACAAATTTTTAAGTTTAAGTATAAAGTTTTTAATTTAAATATAAAGCTTCAAGTTTAAATATAAAATTTTAATTTAAGTAATTATAAAGTTTTTAATTTAAATATAAAGTTTAAAGTTTAAGTAGAAAGTTTTAAATCTTACTATAAACTTTTAAATTTAAATATAAAATTTAAAGTTTAAGTTTAAGTCTTTAATTAAATATGATGTTTCAAGATTAAATATAAAATTTTAAATTTAAATATAAAGTTTTAAGTATAAGTATAAAATTTTTAATCTAAATATAAACTTTTAAGTTTAAATAGAAATTTTTAAGTTTAAGTATAAAGTTTTTAATTTAAACATAAATTTTTAAGTTTAAATACAAAGTTTTAAGTTTAAATATGAAGTCTTTAATTTAAATATAAATTTTTAAATTAAAATATGGAGTTTTAAGTAAAATATTAAATTTCAAGTAAAATAAAAATATATAATCTTAAATTAAATGAAAACAAAAATTTGAATCAAATTAATACATTTTAAATTAAATTGAAATAATTTCTGCTTTCTGTCAAAAGCGTTTTTAATTATTTTGCACCAAAAAAAGGCCTTATTTTTATTGCAAAATAAATTAAAATGTACCGTTTTTAATTAAATTTAAACAAAAAATTACAAATTTCAAATTTCATTCGTGATTATTTAATTCGTTTCATAGTTTTTTTCAATTGAATATTTCATACATTCCATTATAAATTATATACGCATTTATGAACCAAAAGAATTACCTTCAATAAAATAAAATGAATGAATAAAATGTGCAGTCGAAATGTGAGGTTATGTCACACAAATTGAGGAGCTGTATCGAAGAACTCGCTCGACGCTCGAAAAAAGGGGATAATACCAGTCAGGTAGCAGTGAGGACCTCTGGGTCGTTCACTGCTACCTGACTGGTATTATCCCTTTTGTTCGAGCGTCGAGCGAGTTCTTCGATACAGCTCCTCAATTGCGCGTAAAAATAAATAAAAATTCCCGCATACTTTCCGATGAAATAAAAAAAAGAATTGGTCAAATTTTACATCAATTTTTCGTTAAATCTTACAATTTACTTTCATTTAAAGAAAAAATATTACCATAAGCGTAAATTCCTCGGAGAAGTTCATCTCGTAGGCCCATGTTGTCAAAAGTTGGAACAACCTCGACATCTTCGGATGTTTCGAATTCAACATTTGAAAGATCCTCTGTGGGAAGTCGACGACCTTTTGATTCTGACATTATTCTCGTTTTTAATTTTCGCCAGAATATGATATTTTGGAAATAAAAACAGCAATTAAACTTTTTCCAAATGCAAAATCGGAGACGCCAGCAGCACACAAACACAATTGGTGACACACTCGCCGCCGTGTGAGTAGGAAAGTCGATAACAAACGAAAATAGTCGGAAATGAACGAAAGTGAACGAAAGGTAAAAACCATGATCCAAGTAACAAGGTCTCGCCAAAGTCGGGCTCAATTTTAACTCGGTTCGCGCACCATAAAAAAGCCGACCAATCATAGCGATTACCTGAAGCGACGACCATATTGAAGCGCTAAATTTTGAATCAAATACAGAAACAAATTTAAAGAACATAAAGAATAATAAATTAAAAGTAAAATAATTCTTTATTAAATATTAATATTTTTTATTAAATACTTATTATTAACTTGATACATAACATTCACATATATTGGTTGCTTGGAATCTTGAAAATCAAATTACTATTTATTGCAATATTTATTATTATTATTAATAACTTTATATTTATTAATATTAACAATAATTAAAAATAATAATTATTATTAAAAATAAAATAACATTCATAATAATTTATTAATATTAATTACTATTTATTGTAATATTTATTATTATTATTATCAATAATTTTATACGTATTAATATTAATAATAACAATTAATAATATTTATTATTAAAAATAAAAATATATTAATAACAATAACAATCTTATTTTCTGGATTTGAAACACATTTAAAAATACGCGGCTAGACTTTCAATATGGTCGTCACTTCGTCCGCATTCTGATTGGTGCTTGGTTCCACGTTTTTTTTGCCTGCGCGTGGCGAGACCTTGTTACTTGGATCATGGTAAAAACTCTCCAAGCATTATTGTTCGGAATTGTTCGGAGACTTTAATGTCAAAATCAAAACAAATCAAAAAACGGAGTATTTGGTTATGTTTCAATATAATTTAATTATTAATTAAAGAAACTATATTTAAATCTGTCAACATGATTTCAGGAATTCTATCCTCTCTCTCAAGGTGAGTGACATTTTTTTCTTTAATAATAATTAGTGTACGTTATATTTTTCAAAAATAATTCATTTCGTAACATAACCTATAAAAAGTCGAATTTAACTTTCCTCTTCATTTTTCTTTTAAATTAGAAGAAATAATAATAAATTTTACAATTATGTTAATAAAAAAATAAATTATACAAATATACAAAATATATTTTATTGTAGAAAATATTATTTTCTCTATTTAGAGTCGAAAACAAATTCTTTTTGCTAGTGTGCAAATCTTTAGGAATAGTTTTTGAATTTAGAATTAAAAAATTTGGAATTTATATTAAAATACTTGAAAATAATTGATTTTATATTAAACTACTTGAAAATAATTGATTTTATATTAAAATACTTGAAAATAATTGAATTTATATTAAAATTCTTGAAAATAATTTAATTTAATTAATAATTTTCAGATTATCTATTGGCAATGTACAAGGAACCGGAAGAACTTTTACGACAAATACACTTCCTCTTTATTTCAATGCAACACAAATACTTTGGTAAAGGATATTGAGTTTTTTTTAATTTTCCCATTTTTTTAAATAATTACAATAAATAATATTTTTATTGATTACATGAAAAATTTTTTTTATATATTTCTTACGTATTTATTTATTTTTTCTGTAATAATGGTTTGTTTATTAAGATGAACAATAATTTTTGCAGTGGTGAACCACTAAAGAAGAAGAAGAGAATTGATCCAGCCATTTTAAAGCGAAGGTTTGAGAGAAAAACACGGAAATTGCAAAAAGAAATTCGTCGATTGGAGAGAGTGAAAAAAACTCCAAAACCTATTCTAGAATTACAAGTGCCAAGAGAAATTTTTACGGAGAAAAAGTATGATCTATTTATATATATATATAGAAAATAAAACAAAAATATTATATATTGAATCTCTTGTAAATGAACATCAATCTGACTCATTCTTTTGATTTTGATAATTAGAATTTCAGACATAAAACAAAATTATACAAATAATTTTAATTTCAGAAATATTACACATTAAATGCAATAATTTTATATTTCATATACAATAATATTATTTATTTACAACTTTATTTGATTCTAAGTTACAATGTAATAAAGAAAACTTTTTTTTTCAATTTAGATTGAGGATAAGAAATTTACCGAAAATCAAGGAGGAAGTTACAGCTGAAAGAAAAGAAATAAAGGACAAGTGGGCTCATTATAAATTATTAGAATATAGAAAAGATATGGACACTATCCAAAGTATTCTATATTCTCAAGAGAAAGCATTGAATGCCCTTCGTGAGGAATCCGAAGAATTATATCAAGAGGCTATTCAGGTGATAAAAATAAAACCAAATAATTTTATTTAAAAAAATAAAAATTTTTACAAAATTCTACGCAAACATTTAATTATTTTCATAAATAATAAAAGTCATCGCAGAATTTCAATTATTTTGAATACAACAATTCAAATTCTGCGATGACTTTTATTATTTACGAAAATAATTAAATCCCTGTAAAAATTTTATACTATTTATGAAAATAATTGAATTGTTGCGAAAAAATTTATAAAAAATTTGCAAATCATTGAATTTATGAAAAGAATTTTGTCAAAAAATTTGATAATAATTTAATTTCTTCGAAGAATTTTATTATTTATAGAAATAATTGAATTTTTGGGAAAATTTTATTAAAATTTTTGAAAATTCTAATTTAATTCTTTTGAAGAATATCTTTGAATTTTTTTAAAATAATTGAGTTTCTTTAATAATTTTAATTGAAAATTTTCAAAAGTAATTGGATTTTATATGAACAATTTCTTTCAAGTTTTTACAATAATCGTGTTTCTTAATAATTGAAATTAAACATTTAATTCTTGAATTTTATTTAAATTTTTAGAAAATAATTGAATTCTTTCGAAAAATTTCTTTAATTTATTGAATACAATCGAATTTTTTTAATGATTGTATTGAAAATAATTGAATTCCTAAAAAAAATTTTATTATTTTTGAAAAATAATTGAATTCTTACGGATGAATATTACTACTTATAAAAATAATTGAATTGTTTCGAAAGATTTATTAACATTTTAGAAAATAATTGAATTATTTCGAAAAATTTTATTAAAAACTTTTTTATAAATTGTATTCTTTCATGAAATGTTATTAAAATTGTATTCGAAATAATTGAATTGTTGGGTAGAATTTTATTAAAATTTTTGAAAATAATTGAATTTCGGAGAAGAATTTAATATTATTTCTAAAGATAATTGAAATTTTGATGAGAATTTTTAAAAATTTTTTACCATAATTGAATTTTTGCAAAGAATTTTATTACTTTTGAAAATAATTGAATTTTTGCAATTATTTGGAACTTTTCAAAAATTCTTCAAATTATATCGTTAAATTTACGAACTTTTATTGCTTTTTCAATCGAATTACGGACTTTACGGACCTTTTTTTTTAAAAAAAACGGACTTTTACGGGATTTACGGACCTAGTTCGAGTCCTGTAATAATCGAAATTTCCTAAAATTTAATTGTAAACAAAATATGTATTCGAAAATTTTCAAACAACTTTTTAAAAAATTATTAGAAATAATTGGTTTAAAGAAAAATCTCGGTCTTTCTTTAGGGTCAGGGAAGAAGTCAAAATTTTGTTTGGAAGTCAGGGAAAAGTCAGAAAAAAAAACAAAATTATATTTTTATGGCGACCCTGCAATAGTAATAATAAATAAAATAATTAATAATAATAAGAATAATAACAGTTTAATATAAGCCTAATTTTATTTAATTTTTAATTTAATTTTAAAATGTAAATTTAACAGAATTTTATAATAGATATTTTTTCTCTTTTTTTACATTAGTTGGATCCTGTTTGTTTGCCGTACAAAATATCAGGAGCAACAGTAACGCCAGCCATTGTGGACTACGACATACCAGATGGAGATTACACTGATATTACAAAAAAATACGAAGGAGAGTAATTAAAAATATGTTAATGTGATTTTATAGCTCAAGAAATAAATTGTTTTTTTCTCCATTCTTTTGTTAAAGTAAAAATTATTGATTAATTTTTTTTTCATTTTCTTTATTTGCAGTAAAAAAACGTATTCTATATATACGTATGCATTTTTTTCTTATACAAAAATTACGTACACACATTCATTCGATACAATAATAATTTTTTTCATTTAAATCAGTAATGGACTTATATATAGACTATTTCACTAGAAAAAAACTTATAATAGTGAATTAGACAATATATGAAGCGATCCCTGATTTAAATTCAATAATTCAAGGAAAGGAGGATATACATATTGTTTAAGTACTGACTATTCAAAAAGGAAAAATGAATCTGAAACATGTAGTGTCACGTAGAAAAAAATTAAATACTGATTAAAATTTTCATATTTTTTTATTTTAAAAGTAAAAAAAGTTTGTTTTTTTTTCTTTCTGAAGAGAAATGTTTAAAAAAAACTGCTACATTTTAACGATTTTTTTCGTTTCCTAACAAAATAAAAGCCATTTCTCTTTTCTTTAAGTAACATAAATTTCTTTAATTTACATATATGAAACGTGAAATTAATTTCTCATAAAACGGTAGAAAAATGAAAATTTTAAACAGTTTACTATTAAAAACACATCCCAACTTATAAATTAAAATAATCTTTAACTATATTGGGACAATATTGGATAAAGCTATTTAATCGATTTAAAAAAAACATTCCGCCATATTGGATTCTCCATTTTCAAAAGTCTCGAAAATCTGACGTCAGATTCGTAATAAGCGACTTCAAAAAATCCTTATAGTAACAAGTTTTAACCGAATCGAAAGAAATGTAAAAGAAATGTCCGCCATTTTGAATATTGAAAAACTGACTTCCGATTCGTTATTAGAGACCCCGAGTAACAAACATTAACTAGATTAAATGAAATTTAAAAAAAGTGTCCGCCATATTGGATCCGCCATTTTCAGGGCTCAAACAAGGTCCGTAAATCCCGTAAAGGTCTGTAAATTTGCTTGAAGTCCGTAAAAATCAGTTTTTTTTTTAAAAAAGGTCCGTAAAGTCCGTAATTTGATTAAAAAGGACGAAAAGTTCGTAAATTGTACGATATAATTTGGAGAATTTTAGGAAAATTACAAATAATTGCAGAAATTCAATTATTTTCAAACGTAATAAAATTCTTCGCAGAAATTCAATTATGTTTACATTTTTTTTTATAAATTTCTTCGCAATAATTCAATTTTTTATAATTATAATAATAATTAAATATTAATATAATAATAATGAAATATTATTACAGAGATTCAATTATTTTCGTAAATACTAAAATTCTTTTTATGAATTTAATTATTTTCACAAATAATAAAACTCATCGCAGAATTTCAATTATTTTTAATACAATTTTAATCAAATTTCTCGAAAAATGTAATTATTCTTAGAAATTTTATTAAAATTCGTTAAAAGAATTCACTTATTTCAAAATTTGTTTGCATTTTTTTATGAGAATTCAATTTTGAAAAACATTCAATTATTCAATAAATTATTTATTTTTGTATTTAAATAAATTTCTAATTTCGTAACTTTCATCTGTCCATTGTCTTGTAATTTTTGTTCTCATCGTCTGTGGTCTTCGTCTTTTTATTTTAGGGACAAACATTTTGCTTGTTTTAAAATTCAATTGTGAAAAATTGTACTAATTGATTCCGGGCATGGAAACACATATTCTGTTGTCTTTTGTTAAAAACTTTTTACTCCTCTTTTCCAACATCACTTATCTCCTTTTTCTATTTTGTAACTTTGGTCTGTCGTTTGTCTTGTAATTTTTGTTCTCGTCGTCAGTTGTGTTCGTCGTTGTCGACGACATTCTTTCGGGTCAAACATTTTGCTTGTTTTAAAATTCAATTGTGAAAAATTGTACTAATCGATTACGGGCATGGAAACACATATTCTGTTGTCTTTTGTTAAAAACTTTTTACTCCTCTTTTCCAACATCACTTATCTCCTTTTTCTATTTTGTAACTTTGGTCTGTCGTTTGTCTTGTAATTTTTGTTCTCGTCGTCAGTTGTGTTCGTCGTTGTCGACGACATTCTTTCGGGTCAAACATTTTGCTTGTTTTAAAATTCAATTGTGAAAAATTGTACTAATCGATTACGGGCATGGAAACACATATTCTGTTGTCTTTTGATAAAAACGTTTTACTCCTCTTATTCCCACCCCATTTATCTCGTTTTTCCTATTTCGTAACTTTGGTCTGCCGTTTGTCTTGTAATTTTTGTTCTCGTCGTCAGTTGTGTTCGTCGTTGTCGACCACTTTCTTTCGGGTCAAATATTTTGCTTGTTTTAAAATTCAATTGTGAAAAATTGTACTGAGAATAATAATGGTAAGCGAATTTACCCTCATTTAAAGATAAAGTCGCTCACAACAAAACGGCTTATAAATAATTTTCTGCAACATATTTTAATTTCTTTATGCAATAATAGGAAAGAGAAAGGGTTAGAGATTATATATTTTCAGTGCCAATGTTTATTTTCATCGTTTCCCGAAGTTATTTAAAAAAGAATTGAAAAATTGAGCGAAATTATTCTTTTTTAAGGTATTTTCTAAAAATTTAAATAAAATTCAAGAATTAAATGTTTAATTTCAATTATTAAGAAACACGATTATTGTAAAAACTTTAAAGAAATTGTTCATATAAAATCCAATTACTTTGAAAAATTTAAATTAAAATTATTAAAGAAATTCCATTATTTTAAAAAAATTCAAAGATATTCTTCAAAAGAATTAAATTAGAATTTTCAAAAATTTTAATAAAATTTTACCAAAAATTCAACTATTTCCATAAATAATAAAATTCTTCGAAGAAATTAAATTATTATCAAATTGTTTGATAAAAATCTTTTTATAAATTCAATGATTTGCAAATTTTTTATAAATTTTTTCGCAACAATTCAATTATTTTCATAAATAGTATAAAATTTTTACAGCGATTTAATTATTTTCGTAAATAATAAAATTCTTCTTAAGAATTCAATTATTTTCATAAATGATAAAATTTTCACAGGAATTTAATTATATTTTCAAACAAATACAATTTTCTTAAAATTTTTTGAAAAAAATTGAGTATTTAGAATAATTTTGATAAAATTCTTCGTATCAATTCAATTATTTAAAAAAAATTTGATAAAATTCTTGCGAAAATTTCAATTATTTTCATAAATAATAAAACTCATTGCAGAATTTCAATTATTTTTAATACAATTTTAATCGAATTCCTCGAAAAATTCAAATATTCTTAAAAATTTGTCGATAAAATTCTTTATATGAGAATTCAATTTAAAGAAACATGCAATTATTCAATAAGTTATTAATTTTTATATTTAAATAATTGAATTCTCGTTGAATTTTCTAATAAATGATTTAAAAAAGAATTTCTGTTGAAAGTTTAGATAATAATTGATTATTATTAAAAGCATTAGAACGTGAATTTTTAGAAATAATTGAATTTCGAATTTAATTTTTTTGAAAAAGTTTAATTGAATTATTTTTATATTATTTGAAGTTTTTATTTTCTATAATTATGTTTTAATTTAATTTATAGTTTTAAGTAAAATTTTCTCTTATTTGACTCGAACTGGTTATATTTTTGTCAGTAATTGGTTCGTAAATGGTCCGTAATTTTTCATTTTTGGTCTGTAAGTTCGTATTATTTTAAATACTTTCACTGGTTCGAGGCCTCCATTTTGAATATTGAAACAGTGACGCCTTATTCGTTATTAGCGCCCAAAAAACCCCGAAAAACAAGCATTAACCAAATTGAATGAAATTTAAAAAAAAGTGTCCGCCATATTGAATCCGCCATTTTGAATATTAAAAAACTGACGTCAGATTCATAATTAGCGACCCCGGATGACAAGCTTTAACCGAATCAAATAAAATGTACGCCATATTGGATCCGCCATTTTGAATTTAATCTTCAAGTTAAGAAATTTCTCCGTTAAACGTAAATTTTAATCTAATTAGTTATAAAAATTAAACTACATCCATATTGCCCCAATAAGAAATTTTTTTCTTTGTTCCCTTTTGGTTCCCTTTTGGTATTTTCATTCAACAAATGGAAATCAACGAAGACAAAATGAAAAATATGAAAGCTTATTCTGTTATTTTTCTCTTATCACAGCGTATTGCGTCATCGAAGAAACAATTATTATTATATTTGTTTTTCCTAAAAAAAAAAAACCTCTTTCAATCGAATTTAAGTTCTCGTTTACACATTGGACATTTGTCACTGCTTTTGATACACTGTCTTAGACAATCGGCATGGAATATATGATGACACGGTGTAATTCGTGCTTTTGTCATTGCAAATAGACAAACGGCGCAAACATCGTCGAATTTTTCAATTTCCTCATTTGTCGCTTTTCTATATCTATTGAGAATTTCCCTTTCTTTTTGTAGAACAGCACCGGAATTTTGTGCAAGTTCTTTGGTTCGTAAATAGACATTTATATAGGTGGTGACTAGTAAAAATCGCCATGACGCCGTGGGTAGTAGAATAAGCGTGAAAATTGATGACATTACAATTGTAAAACAACGAAGAATCACTGGTGCATAAAGATTTTCAATATTCTCGAGAATTTCCAATTGAAGAAATATTAGAATGCCTGGGAACATTTCCACGAATACCTTCTCTGTTGCTAAATAGTAGAGCCATGTAATGGACGTGTACATCATTGAAGGTCTGAAAAAAAAATTTGTAACATTAAATATAAGTAAACATTTAGACTATGTTTAAATGTTTCCTAGTTTTGTTTATTGAGAATACAAACTTATAATTTTCCAGTCCTTGTTCGAGGCCGAAGAAAAGTAGCATAAAAGTGATGGTGACAACGAATGTAACGGCCTTCGTCCATTCAAGAACAATTTTTGTCGCTGACATGGCGAGATGTTTAATTTGCGATCTTTCGGTGAGTGTGACGTAAGGTGACCAATCCTCCTTTTCAATAAGCTCCTTAATGTAACTGACACAATAGGCAATTACATTGTAGAACATGAGAGTGTACAAGCAGGTCATTCTTTGTTGAGGAACAAGCACCTTGTCAGACAGCATCAAGAATACTATTTGATTCATCATTAGGGAGAGATTTTTCATTTTTAAAAAGAGATTCTCTGCCCTGTCAATTGGTCCATGGACGCGTTTCAAGAATCCACTTAAAGGCTTCCATCCTTTTTTGGCAAGATCTGAAAATTAAAGAGGATTTTTGTGTGTTCTTAAATTACCACAAAGAGAATAGGACATCCGGCTCCCTAATCATCAACTCCAACCTTTATTTTATTTATATTTAGATAAGGTTCCTATTACTAAGCCCTCTAAGTAACAATTACATAGAATTCATTCTCGATCATTTGTCAATCAAAAAATAGAAATAATTACCAACTCCAAAGGAACCAAACTATTAATAAATTAATTATCAGTACCATAATTTTTATATTATTTCATTATTATTAATTTCACACTTATTTCCAGAGTTATAAAAATAGAATTTCTCTATTTATATATTTAAGAGATGAAATTCTACAGGCTCGTTGCTTATATACAAAAATGATAAAATTAGAAGGCGGGAAAGAAAAAATTAATGATTGTGTTGTATATGTATAATCGAAGTGATGGGGTTCGACTTGATTTTTCGTAATTTTATGAAATTTACATATTAATGGATGTCAATCAAATGAGAGCAATTTTGCTAACAGGATCAGATGGACAGGTGGGTCGAAGTTGGAAATGAGATGATTTGCATGGCAACCGTTATAATTCCGTCCCTTTAGGAAAATATGAAAAATTATCTCGAGTATAAAAAGACGTTAAATCTCATTTCCTCAGTCACATTAATCCTTACGATCCCAAACGTACACAACTCAAGAAGTCTCTTTTCTTCGTTTAACATAATTTCAAGATTACGAAGATTAAAATCAGGTGAGACAATTTATATATCTATTAAAATAATAGTTGTAATTTTTTGTTAATTAACATTTTATAGTAATTTGAAACAATTGTTATTAAATTAATGTTTTTGCATATTCTTATTTAGAGTAATTACAATTACAATTTAGTAATTCAATCGTAATGGAATATTCGATTCGTCATATTAAAGAACTCTTATTTTCATCTACATATTCCTAGATTATTCTATCTTTGCTCCTAACTTTTCTTTTCTAAAATTCCTTTAAGGGGAGGAACTCAACTTTCACCCCTCGAAATTTATATTTTCTTGTACTATTTTTAACCCAAACTTATATAGAATTTATTCATTTGAATATTAACGGAACGACCCTTTCGTACAATAAGGATGGTTAAAAATTTTTAACTTTAATTTTTAAAGAAGTGATAGGTTTAATTTATTCTTGCTGCTTGAACATCACTTAATTCAATAATATATTCTTAAGTTTCTTCAGTATTTTCAAAATGATATCTCTATGAACTTGTTCAAATTCTTCTATTGTATTCTGTAGTATTTTTGGTGTCAATAGTTGGGTATGAACTATTCCATGTTTTCCGTCCTTAATAGCGTCTATTGCTATATTAATGTCTTCCCCCACAGCACCGAAACTTTCCTATTTATTAAATATTTACTTGCAATATTCGGAATATTTAATTGCAATGTTTATTGAAAGTTGTGTACAGATTTAAATGTCCCGATTAAATAAATGTTTAGCGCGAAGCTTTCCTGAACATTTCAATAAAATCTTCGCATAATTATAATTATAATTATGCGAAGATGTAATTTCATGTTCAGGACATGTTCAGGAAAGCTTCGCGCTAAACATTTATTTAATCGGGACATTTAAATCTTTACACAATTTTCACTAAACTTTTCAGTTAAATATGACGAATATTGCAAGTAAATATTTAATAAATTTTTAGGAAAGTTTCGGTGCTGTGGGGGTTAGTTTAGTTTGCTAATCAGAAGTGACAGTATTACTAGTTTTGAATTTATAAAATCTTCTTGTATAGTTTCGTTTATTGTTGTTCGTAAATTTATAGTTATTGTAGTTCTTGATCAGTTTGTGTTTGAAGTATTTTGTAAGCTAATGATGATGAATCAAGAATCAGTTTTATAATTTTCGTATGATTAGTTAATATATTTGCTAATTGATTTTGATCATCACGAACTTCATCAAATTGACTTTTAATAGTCTGCATCATTCATAATTCCAAATATAAAGGCTTTGCTACATCTCCCACAAAATTGTCTAGACCTTTTTTTATTCGACGTCCTCCTGACAATTTATTTAATAAATCATGCTTACTTTTTAATCAGTTATCAGTCAAATCTTCCCCTTTCTAAATGAATTTCGTTCTCATAAAGCTACAATAAATAGAACATGCTGCTTCACATTTTTGAATTGTTTTTTCAATCATATCAAATCTATTGTTTAGATTATGGTGCGGTTTATTCCAGTTATTAATCGACATTCCTCATGATACTGGTGTACAGGTCATATCACTCTTGGCAAAAAGCCATTTTCTTTCCAAAAACGTTTTTAGAACGTTTCATGTCGTCCAAAATGTTCCAAAACATTTTAAGAACATAGATGTTCAAATAATGTTCTAGAACATTATTTGAACAACATATGAAACATTCTAAAAACTTTTTAAGAACGTTTTTGAACGAACATGTTTTTTTGCCCAGAGGGTTGTCTTCGATATACAGATTACCTTTTAATTCTGTTATATTGATATTTTCATATGTTAGACTAATCTTCAGAATTATCAGTAAATTTATACTGCTCATCATTTTCATCATTAAATCTGCTTCTTCTGGATCCTTGTGATGTGTGAAGAGTATGGACGTAGACACTTAAGCAAAACACATTATAAGTGGCTGACGTATCAGCCTAGTTCTCCGATTAGATGAAATTCCTCCAGAAGTCATCTTCTTCCAAGTCTTATTGTCTAGATCAAAAAGCTCAAACACCTCAATTAGTGGCACGTATCAAATTTCTCGAAGGTATCCGTAGAGTACCCAACGGAGCTTTTCCTCCTTTAATTGAACACGAATATTTTCCGTAGAAAAACAGGTTCATAATCGAAGATAGAAGAGTTTGACAAATTATTTTTACGTCGTTTGTTACTATCCTGCGGCGGGATCGCCAAAATGTTAGCGAATAAAAAAATGTGAACCCATATATGGATTCTCATGTGGATATGAGTCAGTTCTCAAATGTAAATTACTTGGGTTATACTTGGGTTCCCAAGTAAATTAAAAATAGTTTTCACACACAAATAAAATTAAGTTTTTCAAATTTTTTATATTGAACATTCTTTAATATCTGAGCCTATTTGTTAAAATTTGAGATTTTCAGAAAAAAGAATATCGAATACTGACCTCTAATTGCTTGAACGATGGTTTTCAAAATTGAAACCGGATATCTGTAGTTGGCACTGAAAACCACCGGAAGTACAAGGGCAGAATAAAGTGCGGGTGCAGGTGGGGGCAATAAAGGGAGAGGGCCTCTTGGGCAATAGGGCAACAACAGTACTGCACTCAAAAGACAAACGCTTTGTGCCGTTTTCTCCTTATCGACGCCAAATGAATTTGCTCTAATACGCCCCCGGACTCGTGTTATCATTCCCATTCTTGATATTCTGAAAAAATGTACCTATTATTAAATTAATTCATTTTATTACTAAAATAATTAACAAAATAATTCAATTTTTAAGAAAATTTTTAGAAACTAAAGAAAAAGATTTTTTCTTACACGATAAAATTCCTTATATAAATTTTAGCAAAATTATTTCCGTTTGAAAACTTATTTTTTGGCAATATTCCAAATAAACTGAAGTCGCGTACTTCTGCGGATTAAAGTATTTAAATATTTTTAAATCAGTTATACTTTTAATTATTTTCAGCTGATAAAGAAACATCATCGTCATTCTGAATTGAGGATTTTTACGATTTCAATTTATTGTGTTAATGTTTATAATTATTATTACTATTATTATTAATAATAATAACATTAATAATAATAATAATAGTAATTAATAGAAATAATGTGATAACTAATGCGTACAATTTTTAATTTTTTTTCGGAAAAATTTGAATAAGTTTATGTGAATATGAATGTTAATGGAATTTCTTCAAAAATTCTTGATGAGTCAGTGACACACGTTCATTGTTCGTTGATCTACTCACAAAATTAAAAATAAACCATTTGGACAATCAACTTTTTAAAAATCTTTTTATATCTTCTTCTTCTTAATTTGCATACGAATTGAAAATAATTAAAAAGTCTTTTTTAATTAGTATTTTGATTTTATTATTCTTAATTGTTACATTATATAATTATAATAACTTATTTATTTAATTATTTAAAAAAAAGAAGAAAAAGTGTTACAAGAATAATATTCGCATTTCAAAATATTTTATTATCAATAAACAATCTATTTTTAATTTAAAAATATTATTATCTTTCACTAAAAAAAAATATATTTTTCAAAAAACAAGTTTTTGAAAAAAAACACATAAACAAATTTTTCATTTGATTTTAAAAATAAAAACTAATGTATAAAAATAATTTTTAATAATAATGATGATAATAATAATAATAATAATAATAATAATAATAATAATAAAAATAGCAATAAATTTATGAAAAAAATGAAATTAGCATGAATAATATAAAAAATCACCTATTCAAATGTTTCGATCTTTATATAAACTTTCATTTTTAAAACAACGCAAATTAAAGTTTTCGCTGTAATCAAGTGCAGCAAATGCGTCTCTCATCAAGTTTGTAAACAGGAAGAGCGCGTGGTTTACAGTAATAATAATTTAAAAAATATTTGTTTTCCAAATTAAAGACATTTTTTACTTATTTATTCAGAAAAACAGAAATTTAAAAATAAACCGAAATCTAATTTTTATTATTTTAAGAATATTTATTTATTTGATTAATTTCATTAATCATTTGCTTTCTCTCTAATAAAGTTTTGTGAGAATACACGTGAAAGTCATTATTTTGGCTCTTCAATTGCAAAGAGCATTAAGTGCCATATGTTTTTTGTATATTTACAAATTTTGGCAGAAATTTTGCGATTAGTCATTCGATCAATAGTTCTAAGATAAAAAATAATTGAAAAGCAAAAAAATAAAAATGAAACGTACAAATTTTTTTTTTTAAATTGTTTAACATTATTAAATGAAATACTTTTTAATTGTAAATTATAAATTTATTATAAATATTATACATAAAAATTAATCAATAAATCGTTTTGTTATTGCATGTGAAATAAATAATTGTTAACAGATAATAATATAAATAATTTACCTTTTTGCAAAACTCTTTTTAAAATTCACTGATTTTTATATACACGTATGCACCAAATTTCAAAGTGAAAAAAATAAATATAAATATAAAAGAAAAAAAAATATTTTTTTTTATAAAAACACGTCCAGTTGCTTTGAATTTCTATGAGATACTGCGGCAATAAACATTTTCTGTATTAAAGAAAGATATATAGAAAGAAAATCTGGCAAGTGCCTAAAGATACGCAAAAGACGCCAAATTTAATTTTAGACTAAATTTTAACATGAGTTTCGCGACCATTCATTGATCCACGACGACCTATCCTACGTTTTTCCCATTCAAAATAAAATTTTTCAATACATTTTTTTTCATCCTTTGTTAAGAAAAATTTCTCCAACTTCGTATTTTGTAATTTAACTTTTTTTTACAGAAAAAGTCTTCAAATTAAATTTAAATTCAAATTTTTAATTTAAATTAAATTTAAAAAAAAAAAATTTAACAAAAATTGTTAAGTAATTAATTAATAAAAATTTGTTAGCAGTTTTGATTATGAAGTATAACAATCGAGAAAGAAACACTTTCTGTAACTGTTACCTAGAAGTAAAAGTTTTTTGTAACCGTTTTACTTAACTAAACTGTTAAGTACTTAACAAGAAATTAAAATTCTTCTGTAACTAATGTTGCAGAGTTGCCAGATAAATTTTTCATCTCTCTGTTACGTTACTTATGTAACAATATGTTAAGAGTCAAATATAGTTAAACTCTTTTTTCCAGCCGATTGGTAATGAGAAAATTTGTAAATATTTGTTACTCACAATTCCTAAAATTTCACCCTTCTTCTATTCATGAAATTTTGCTGAAACGCCCACTATTGAATTTTATTAATGAATTGAATACTTTGTTCGCTTACTCATTTATATGGATTTAGATATACATTATAACAATATGTTGACAATATTTTGGCCCGCCAACTTATTTTTATATAATTAAACTTCCGGGAAGTGAAATATACAATAATAAATATATATAATCATAGTAATTCAAAATGAAAAGAGTTATTTTAATTGCAAAAGTATGTGACAAGGTCTAGAAAAAGGGTCTTTGGGATCGCTGAATACTAATCTGAAGTCAGATTTTTAAATATCAAAATGGCGGTCTCTTAAGGGGTTACCCCCCAGTTGCAGACTTAATCGAACGATTTTAGTCATCGAATTGAAAAATGCCATTTCGAAAAAAACGCGTAGTTTTAAAGTGGAAAAAATGTCTTCGACTTCATTTTGTTGAGCTCTTTTCAATTTTCAAGCCTCTTGCCACAAATTTTTTATGCATAGGGTTCAATTTTTAATTTTATATATATTTAAATTTTATGCAAGGGACCAAATTACTGATTTTCAGCTTTCGTTATTATTTTGCGTAATATAATCTACACAACATTGTAATAAATAATTTATAATATGATATATTAATTTGAAAAGGTTATTAATGGGCGTCACGAATGCACCAGGCGGTTAAGCATCTGTAGTGACTAATTTTTTGACGAAGTCTTTTATCCGATTTTGATCAATAGGTCTCTCTTTTGAGTAGCTTTTGCTTCTTCAATCTTTGTATGGCTGACGTCTGAATTAACTTCTTTACGAATTTACCTTTTGCACGCTTGAAGAATACAATTTGACGACTTACAAAAAACGAGTAAACGACTAGTTTTCTTGAAACGACTCCTGTCGATTAACATACAACCATAGAACAATCAAAAGATAGAAGGACACGCGCATGAACCATAAGAGTATAAAGTGCAATACACATACGTGTAGGATCTGATATAGATACCCACACAGCACATGATATTTCCTAAATATTTTCTGAATATTTCACTGAAAGATTGAAATATTTCAGTGCAAAGTTCTAGAAATATTTCTGCAAACAGGAAAATGTCCGCTTATGTGGGAATATTGACGCGAAAGTTGAGAAAATATTTCATTGAAATATTTTGGAAATATTCAACTGAAATGATGCGCACTGGTCGAACTCAGTTTCTATGGCCTGTAGAGCTGTGCAGTAGTTTTTGGCTTACTATATCCTATGGGTTTTAAAATATTTCAGAAAATTCCTATTGGTTTGAGGTGTTTAACAAATTTTTCCATTTTGTGAAATATTTTCACAATATTGCAGAATCTTTATGTGTAATATTGCAGGAATATTTCAATGAAATATTTTCTCAACTTTCGCGTCAATATTCCCACATAAGCGGACATTTTCCTGTTTGCAGAAATATTTCTAGAACTTTGCACTGAAATATTTCAATCTTTCAGTGAAATATTCAGGAAATATTTAGGAAATATCATGTGCTGTGTGGGTAATCGAATGAGAATCAGTTAACAAATGACGATGTTAGTTTATGAGTTCAGTTTGTTATTCATGGCAACGAGAAGTGAAAGTAAAAATTCGGTTAATTGATTTAATATCTAATGTATTCGAGTTAATAAATGTTCAGTAATTATTATCCGGAAGTGTTTTACTCGTCTCTTTAACTATTTTTGATCCCACATACGTCACAAGGCTTAAGGCTGGTTCATACATTAAATACTATTAAATTCAACATAGAAGACTGTTGCATTGAAAAAAAAATAGTATTGAAAAGTTTTAAATGACAAATTGCAATTAGTGAATTAAAGATTAGTTATTAAAATTTAAATTTTGAATAAAAAAAATGCTTTCATGTTTAAAAAAAAGTAAAACAGTATTGTAGTGATTAAAAAAGTATTGCACTAATTAATTTCCAGAATGTTTTAAAATGGGATTCCCCGGAATAATGGATAACTGACTTTCAGGCAATTGCAGGGTCTATGAAGACCCTGACGTCAGCCCTTGATGAGACCATCATGAATAAACGACTTTATTCATAAAATAAATTACTGTATTCATATAGTAATATTTATAAAAATAGTATATTAATTAACCAGTTAATTATAGAAATAGATAGGAGATAATGATTATTTGGAAATGTGTATAATAAATTTTTAAAAACTAATTGCACTTTGCATTTGGCTACAGATAATAATAATCTCTCGTAAAGATAATTAAATTTATAGAATTTATTATGACTAAAGTTGAGGGATCGGAATAAAATTTTTTAAAAAATATGTAAATTGTCATATAATCTCAAAAGAGTACTGGCCTCCTTAAAAGTGTATATTATTACAATATATATTATATTTACATTCATTCTAAAAGTCATGATTTCTTAATATATATATTTAGATATCAATGTCTGGTTTATGAACATTAATTAACAAGTAATAATAATGTTCAACCCTTGACACTTGCGCTTTCGAGCGTTTAAAGTCTTTATTACGAAAATCTAAATAAGTAAATAATTCAAGGTGATCGTAGACAACATTTGTAGTTCAATTTTCCTTATTTCTCATCAAGTATTATAAGAATTAAAAAATGATATTTTTTAAAATATTTTTTTAAAACTGTTTTTCAAAGTATAGTAGACGTATAGTAGATAATTATAGTATAAGAAAATTATTTATATTTACACTTATTGTCAAACTTGAGGTTTAACGGTCGATATATAAACTTAAAAGTTTTTGTCAAATATGGAACGTAACCTCAAAATTTAAGTCAAAATTAAAAGGTCAAGATCGTAAGAATAATCTTAAAATATAGGGAAAATTCGCAAATGTTAAAATAGGAACATAACCTCAAAATTTATAAATCATAACAGTCATAGGTCAATAGGCGAACACAATCTCAAAATTTAGGTCAAAAGTCACAGATCAGTAGGTGAACATAACCTTGAAATTTAGATCAAGAGGGGATCATAGCCTAAAAATTTATCTCAAGAAAAACTTCAGATTAACTTCAGATTGATATGCAAAAGTATAAAATATATTTTAAAAAAGTTAATATAAAAAGTTTTAAATTTATTCCAATATAAATTCTTTATTTCGATAATATTTTTCAAAATAAAGTAAAATTTGTCGCTTCTATTCAATTTTTTATATGAGAAAATTTCAATAGAAGCTGAATTTTCTTTATTTGATAAATATTTTAAGTTAAAATATACATAAAATTTTAAATACCCATAAAATGAAGAAAAGGAAAAAATATGCAAAAATAAAAACAAAAAATGATTCTGTAAAAATTTTGGTCACTTGATAAAATTAGACTTTGCTCGAGAGATGATGATTATTAAGAATATGTTATAAAGAGTTTCTCAAATGACAATCGAGTGGGGATCATAATGTGTAAGATAGAACTGTTCACTTTCATCCGCTTCTCGAACTCAATCAGACGAGAACGGCACAAAATTATTTATTCTAATTTATTTATTTTTTTTACAATAAAGATAAGAATAAATTATTTAGGTAAAACTAGAGTTTGTAAAAAATGATGGAAATTTTCATCTCTTTAGGAACTATTTTTTCTATTTTTCTGAAAAAATGGTGAATATCAACAAAACAAAGTATTATTTTATTTAGAAATTAAAAAAAAAAAATTAGTAATTAAATGTGTCAAAGTGGAGAAGAAAAAAGAAAAGAAAGAAAAAAAAAGGATGTCGACTCAATGGACGTCCTGAATGATTTACGGTTATAATTCTAATCGCGAAAATCGGTGAGTTTAAAAAAGAAAAACAAGCATATTAAATACAAATTTTTAAAGTGAAATGTTTTTTAGAAAAATTCGAAAAAAAATTTTTTATAAAGCATTGACATCTCTCTGAGAGAAAAACACAATTTTCTGCGGCATCGACATCACTAGCAGGATCTATTATTATTATTATTATTATTATTATTATTTAAAAACTAAAATTATATATTATAATTCATTTAAATTCAAAACTTTGTATTATCTTATTTTTTTAAAAAATAAAAGACATGGAATTTCTTAAAAAGAAATTTTTTAAACTTAGTGAAACAAATGGAAAAAAATGTCTGATACAAATTTATGCGGGATTTGCAAATAAAATGTTATTAAATGTAAATTTTATAAAATTCGTATTAAATTACTTGTTTCTTTCTGAATTAAAAAATAATTTTCTCTTTTTTTATCCTGATGGAAAAAAAATAAAAAAAATTTTTTCATTAACAAAATAAAAATTAAATGTAAAAATATTTCCGGCTCGTGTAATCGTCAGTTTTGTTGTTCATTATCAGAGGTCCGATTGTGATTTTGTAGTAAACAGTTCACGGTACAAGACCCAGATAATGGAAAAAGTTTTCCTTGTTCGTATAACAATCAATCAATCAGTGATTAATTATATTCTCACCACCCTTCCATTCATTATTTAATAAATAATCCTCTTCTTGGATTTTTAGGCATAAACAAACCGCACAGTTAATATTATTAATTAAATACACACGATATATATAATAATAATAATAATTTATTTATAAAATGGGCGAGCCCTTTAATAATTAATATTAATATTCATAATTATTGAATTATTTATTATAAATAATAATATTAATAATTAAATTTTTTTTAATTCCAATTTATGAAACATTAATTTTTTATATTACGTCTTATACATTATTTAAATATATTCTATAACAATAATGTAATTATTGATTAATTTTAAAAATTATTTATAATAAATAATAATATTTTAATTAAAATTAATCATTATTATTTTATTTTTTAGCGTGTAAATTTCTATCACTTCATAAACAATAACAATAATTTTGTTACATAAAATAACGATTAATTAACTTGAACTTTGATTGTATTTTTTCTATTTAATTTTAATTTTAATAAAATATTTTGTTTACCTAATAAATTGCATTATATAAGCGCATTATAAACAATTAACTATTATTAATCTATATATGCGTTTTTCTTGTAATAATAAAATAATAAATAATAAAAAAATATTGTTTCTGAAACTGTAATAATTATTCGATAGTTGATGATCACCCATGAAAAATTATATAAAAAAAAAAAATTGGAAAAATAATATTAAAAGTAGTTCCTATATTAATATTAGTAATTAATCATTTATAACAATAATAATAATAAAAGTGATAATAAAAATTATAATAATAATTTTTTTTTTTATTGAAAGTAACGAACAAAAAATTTTGCAAAAGATTTGCTACAAATACGGAAAATTTTTGTTACATATAATAACAGTAATAATATAATAATAATTTTTTAATAATTGCATAAATTTTCTTATTACTGTAATTGAATTATAATTCTAGAAAGTGATTCTAATTTTATTTAACTTCTAAATTCTAGTTTTTAAAATTAATTGTGCACTTATTTTAAATGGTATTGAAATCAACATTTTCTAAAGTTTGTTTAAAAAAATGTTTTAGAAAATTAATACTGTTATAAAAATTGTTAACAAAAATTTTAAAAATGGATTATTCTCATTCTAATTAATATAAAAATAAAGTTTTAATTATTCTATACACAACACTGCAGAAGTTAATAATGAAATTTTTTTTAATGAAATGATAATAATGAATGGAGTTCTGTCAAAAAAAAAAGAAGTCGTTGGATTAAAATATAGGAGAAGAGAATTTGAGACAAAAAAAAATTTAGTGATAGTAATATTGTACAGGGTTATAAATGTTGTTTCAGAATTAATAAGAAAAAAATGAACTAAAATAATCAGTATTTAAAAAGTTAAGAAACTTTTTACCCGGACTTAGTGGCGCTCCTTTTATATAGAAAGTGTATTACAACATTCCGATAATAATTAAGTCATTTTTTTAAAATGATTTTTTGTTACTTTTTTTTTGTGTGCATTCCAATACATTTGTCAAGAACACGTGAAGAGTTTATTTGAATGATGAAACTGAACATTGTATCCAAATGACATTTGCCTTTTAACATAATATATATATACTTTCTGCACTATATCAGGAAAATCTTTTGCTGAGAACTCACAAAATTTTATATATATGTATATTCTAATATTAGAAATGAAATTTTTTCGTTTCGAATTATTAGAAATTTTTTTAAATTATTTAAAATTTTTTTTAAATTAAAATACATATAAGTAATTGAAATAAAAAATTATTATACTAAATAGAAAAAATATTATACTCCATAAAAAATTATATATTAAATTGTCTTTTCTATTTATTTTCTTTTCTCTATTTTATCAAATTTTTGAATAAAGAATATTTTATTATTATTTATCTATTATTTAAGTAAAAGCTCAAATTATTATAGATTTAACAAAATTTGAACGAAGTTTGGTCATAGTCGTTGAGGCATTTAGAGATACGAATTAACTTGAAATGTGTTCGAATCCCCCTGGTGGTAAAAATTTTTACCCCCAAATATTTACAAAAAAAAAAAATTTTTTTTTTAAATCTAAATATAATTTTTTTAGCTAAATGACACTGGGAGTGTCAAATTATTATCAGAAAAATAAAAACGTTTAATAATGGAAAACTTTTTACTTATATGATTTCAGATTTCCTGAGTAGAAGAATGGCAAGTCAGAGTATAAACCTTTTCCTATTGGTCACAATACTTCCCTTGTAATTATATTTTTTTAATTAATTATACTCTTATAAGCAACGATATATGTGTTTATAACTGTTTAATAATAATCTTATTGTTATTTGTCGGTTAAAAATTAATTATCAACATAATAAAACATTTTTATCAATTTCTTTTTTATTTCATCAATTTTTTTCAGTTTTTATAATATTAACTAGCAACAATTCTCACTCACTATTTTAAATAAAATTAGCAATTTTAAAAATAATAGAACGTAAAAATTTTTAATTCAAATTTTTTTTATAAAAATAAAATATGAATTGGAATAATATATAGTTTTAATATTATTATAGTTATAATAATCATATATTTTGACATGGGGAATTCAGGGAAAAGTCAGGAATTTTTATTAAAAGTACTGAAAAAAATTTAATTTTTAGAATTCATAAGAAAATTCTGAATTTTTGTGTCTTTTTTGTTTGACTCATAAACTATCAAATTACCACGAATTCTAATACAAAACCTTCAATTTTTTCCATTTCTGACAAAAATTTCTTTTTAAATAACTTAATTCTTGATGAACTATCATAAAATAAATAAATTATTTTTAGTAAATAATTTTACTTAAATATTTCAAAATTAATTGAGTTTTAAAAGAGTTGCGTTTAAAATTTTCATAAATAAATGAACTTCAAACGGTTTCAATTTTAAATTTTAGAAAATTTCAATGATGAATGAATTTAATTAGAAATTTTAATGAACTTAGATTTTTGAAAAATTTTAATAATTCAAAATCTTCTAAAATTAGTTAAATTTGTCAATATATATACATATATACATTTAATTAATTATTAAAAATAATGGATTTATAGAAGAATTTTAGTTAAAAAAACTTAAAAAAAAATTGAATTTTGAAGAAGTTACAAATGATTGCAGAAATTCAATTATTTTCAAAACCTTTGCTACAATTTATTTATTAGAATTTAAGTATTATTTTAAATTTATAATTTTAATAAAAATTTCTTTAAATAATTAACTTATTTTCAAGATTTTTAATGAAATTCTTTATAAAAATTTAATTTTTTTCAAAATAATTTTAATACAATTCTTCATAGAAATTTAATTAATTTCAAAAAATTTGTCAAAATTCAATTATTTTCAATGTCCACTATTTTAATAAAATTTCACAAAAGAATTCAATTATTTTAAAACAAATTTTAATAAAATTCGTTTCAGGAATTCAATTATTTTCAAAACTAATATAATTCTTCGCAGAAATTCAATTACGTTAAAAAATTTACAAAAATTCTCGTCAAAATTTCAATTATTTTTATAAATAATAAAAAAAATTATTTTCAAAACTTTTAATAAAATTCTTGTCAAAATTTCAATTATTTTCAAAAAATTTTATTATTTCAATAATTTTTAATATCTGCTATTTTTATAAAATTACCCAAAAGAATTCAATTATTTAACAACAATTTTAATCAAATTGTACGCAAAAATTTAATTATTTTCATAAATAATAAAACTGATCGCAGAATTCCAATTATTTTTCATACAATTTTAATCAAACTCCTTGAAAAATGTAACTATTATTAAAAAATTTTATTAAAAATTTTATTAAAATTCGTCAAAAAAATACAATTATTTAAAAATTTGTTAATAAAATTCTTTACAAGAATTAAATTTTAAAAAATATTCAATTATTCAATAAATAATTTACTTTTATGTGTTTAAATAATTGAATAAAATTTAATTAATTTTATAAAAGTTGATTAATTTCAAAAAGGTTTGAATTTGAATGTTTTAAAGAATCTTAATTCCTATGGAAAATAATAATAATTAAATAATTAAAATATTTAAAAAAGAAATTATTGTTAATTATTTTAATTAATTGTTATTAAAAATTTAATTATTCTGCTTTTGGTATTGAAAATTTAATTATTCTGCTTTTGGTATTAAAAATATTGGAAATATTAAAATTATCGATTATAAATTAAATAAATAAAATAATCATTATATAATTATTAGCAGAGTGTAATTAAGGAATATAGGAGAGGAAAAATACATGAATGAATAATAAGAATAAATAAAATTATTGCATGAGATTTAATATTGGAAAGTTTTTGTTGATTTTGATAAAAACTATTGCAAAATTTATTGAAAGGGGAAATTTAATGACAATAAATTTTTTTCTTCTTCTACATTAATGGAAAGCGCGCGACTCTATCGTTCATTATTAATTAGTTGTTTTTTGAAAGTCATCGATGCGGGCAATGGTAATAATAAATTATTATTTTTCATTTATTTTCAAGATGCTTTACTCATCCAATGATAAAAGATCGAGAGGAGGAACGATTATTGTGCGAAACTTGTGGCGATGATTGCGACAAATGTAAATTTGGCGTCACATTTTCTTCACTGTGTGAAGTCTGGCAATGCCAACGGGTAAGATTTCTTTTTTTTAGGTTATGAAATTTATTTTTAATACTAAAATAATAATTTTATTTTAAATTTTCGTCGATGTTGAATTTTTACATCAGGAGTTGGATCGGTTTTTATTTTAAGTTATCTTTCTTCAGCTTCAGATTGTCAAATAATTGAATTAAATTTTCTATTTTTAATTTACTAATTTACTTACTTTTTTTCATAACTATACCAACACATGTTAGTTATGGTAACATTTATCGACAGTTTCTTACGTTGCTGTAAATAAATAAAATAATTAAAAATCTTTTCTTCAGGGTCCTGGTGAAATATGTGGTGGACGTGCCGATAAATATGGCGTCTGCGGAGATGGACTCTCTTGTCATTGTAATAAATGTGTCGGTTGCAGTATAGACTCGTTGGATTGTTACGTTAACAATTGTCTACCACGCACGGAAATTCAACTCTCACACCCAAATCATTTCAATGAACTTATTCTTGGGAAGTAATCGGTAAATTATTCTAGACAACAACGCTAGGCAAATTCAAATTTCGTTTTATTTATTTCATATTTCATTTAAAATAATAAAAAAAAGATCTCATTACATAGTTAGACTGCTCGAAGAATTGTGATACTTGATTCCTAAATTTCCACCCTCAACCCTGTATTCCTTTCTATATTCTATGATAGGAAATTATTTTTACATATGTAAATTTGTAAATATAATTTAGTTTACTTGACAAATGTGCTATAAATTCAAAGATTCAAATGGAATTTTTATGTTTAATAGTTCATTAATTTTTAATTACAATTTTTTGAAAATATTTTAAATATATTAACTGCTTAATCATATACTATAAAGTGTTAAGGATGGCGGAAAAGAGAGTGAGACAAAAATAATTGATAGCATACAGTAGATCAAATTGCAAAATTAAAATTAAATGATTTTTATTTTCAAAATATGCTGCGAAATTTACATACCTGTTTTGAATTAAAATCAGCAATAATCAAACTATTAACTACTATTTAAGTAAAAATATTCCAAATGCACTTGATTTATTTACTCATTTTCGTCTAGATTTAAATTTAATGTAAAGACAATGTTTTTTTTACTTTTGCGATGGTGTGTGATGAAAATAACAGTATTGTGGGTCTGGAATTATGTCAGCTCGCTAAATACTTGTATTTATTTAATTACTAGTCAGCCAGGTGTGCATTTATAGACGAGTTTATAAAATGTCAATAGAAAAGAATAGACGAAATATTTTTGATGGTCAACTTGTGTTAAGCACTTATTGTATTTAATTGTCAAATAAATAAAAAACAATCTTAAAATTATATAATTATAAAAGAGTTATTTAAATTATATTTGTGACGCGATCTAAAGAAAGGAACCTTAGAAGCAAAAAAAACTTATGTTTCCAATTTTTTAAATAAAAATACAAAAAAAAAAGATAAAATTTCAATAAAAATCTTTGGTGTTTAGGTCATCATTACAACTAAAATATTTAATAAACACTTATTATAGTTGCTAACTAACGTACTAACTAACTTACTATCTACCTTACTATCTAATTTACTAACAGACTTACTAACTAGGTAACTTAAAACTGCTTTAAATACCTTACTAACATACTTACTAACTAACTAACTAACTAACTAACTATAACTAACTAGTAAACCTAATTACTGCAATAAAAAACATGTCAAGCAACATAAAACGGTACATTATTAACAAATAATACCAAAATGTGTAATAAAGATTAGTACAAAAAAAATTTCCAAAAAACTTAAAAAAAAAAAAAAAAAAAAAAAAAAAAAAAAAAAATTAAGAATATGTCCGAAAAAAATTCCCACATTCTTTGAACTGGAGCATCTCTGGGACTCACCAGAAGTAATTTTAGAATAAAAAAAAAATTTTTGAAAATTTTTTTTCAAAGTTGAAAAAAATTGAGAAAAAAATTTTTTTTCACGTTGCCGAAAAAGATTTGGCTTTCTAAACAAATCAGAAGTGTATAAGAAAAAAATTAGCCGAATGGGATAATTAGGGACAAAGTAAGAGCAAAAATTCCAAAAAATTTATTAAAAAGAAAAAATATGTGTGCAAATTTAACATGAAAAAAAATGCAAAAAATTTTTTCTTCATGACGCCCTTATAGGTCTAAGTTTATATACTCTTTTGGAGTGTAAATCCAAAAAAATGGGCAGAATTGGATAATTGGGGAGAAAGTTAGAGCAATTTAAATTTTGACTATTGAAAAAACGCCGATTTTTAAAAAGTGTTTTTGCAAAAAAAAGGAATAAAAATTGGTTTTACGGAATTCGCACAAAGAGGGTTCATTGCAGAAAGGCCTCACGAGCCTGGCGAACCAAGTCTGAGTCAAAACGGATAATTAGGGACAAAGTTAGAGCATTTTAAAGTTGGCGAAAACCCCTCAAAAACCACAAATTTTTCAGCCTATTTTTGTCACGTTTTACAAAAAAAAAAATTTTAAAAAATATTTTTTCTTTATTCGCACAAAGAGGGATCTTTGCAGAAAGTCCTAACGAGTCAGAAAAACATAGGCTGAGTCAAAACGGATGATTAGAAAAAAAGTTATAGCAATTTAAAAATAACGAAGTGTCAAAAAAACGCTTCAAAACAACCGAAAATTTAAGGGTTGAAAAAACGCCAATTTTTGGCATGTTTTGCAAAAAAAAACCCCTTAAAAAATGTGTTTACAGAATTTTCACCAAAAGAGATTTTTTTCAGAAACTCCTAACGAGTCAGAAAAATGTAGTCTCAGCTGAATCGGATAATTAGAAAAAAAGTTATAGCAATTTAAAGTTGGGTATACGTTAAGTGCATTTTTGCATTTCAAAAATGGCCTGATCTAGGAGCCATTTCTAGGCATTTCTGGGCAATTTTGACGGTTATGACGTCATTTTTCAAAATTTTTTCAAAATTTTTTCTTTCTTGCCTAAATGATATTTTTCAAAATCCTTTGAACTGGAGCATCTCTGGGACTCACCAGAAGTAATTTTAGAATAAAAAAAAAATTTTTGAAAATTTTTTTTCAAAGTTGAAAAAAATTGAGAAAAAAATTTTTTTTCACGTTGCCGAAAAAGATTTGGCTTTCTAAACAAATCAGAAGTGTATAAGAAAAAAATTAGCCGAATGGGATAATTAGGGACAAAGTAAGAGCAAAAATTCCAAAAAATTTATTAAAAAGAAAAAATATGTGTGCAAATTTAACATGAAAAAAAATGCAAAAAATTTTTTCTTCATGACGCCCTTATAGGTCTAAGTTTATATACTCTTTTGGAGTGTAAATCCAAAAAAATGGGCAGAATTGGATAATTGGGGAGAAAGTTAGAGCAATTTAAATTTTGACTATTGAAAAAACGCCGATTTTTAAAAAGTGTTTTTGCAAAAAAAAGGAATAAAAATTGGTTTTACGGAATTCGCACAAAGAGGGTTCATTGCAGAAAGGCCTCACGAGCCTGGCGAACCAAGTCTGAGTCAAAACGGATAATTAGGGACAAAGTTAGAGCATTTTAAAGTTGGCGAAAACCCCTCAAAAACCACAAATTTTTCAGCCTATTTTTGTCACGTTTTACAAAAAAAAAATTTTAAAAAATATTTTTTCTTTATTCGCACAAAGAGGGATCTTTGCAGAAAGTCCTAACGAGTCAGAAAAACATAGGCTGAGTCAAAACGGATGATTAGAAAAAAAGTTATAGCAATTTAAAAATAACGAAGTGTCAAAAAAACGCTTCAAAACAACCGAAAATTTAAGGGTTGAAAAAACGCCAATTTTTGGCATGTTTTGCAAAAAAAAACCCCTTAAAAAATGTGTTTACAGAATTTTCACCAAAAGAGATTTTTTTCAGAAACTCCTAACGAGTCAGAAAAATGTAGTCTCAGCTGAATCGGATAATTAGAAAAAAAGTTATAGCAATTTAAAGTTGGGTATACGTTAAGTGCATTTTTGCATTTCAAAAATGGCCTGATCTAGGAGCCATTTCTAGGCATTTCTGGGCAATTTTGACGGTTATGACGTCATTTTTCAAAATTTTTTCAAAATTTTTTCTTTCTTGCCTAAATGATATTTTTCAAAATCCTTTGAACTGGAGCATCTCTGGGACTCACCAGAAGTAATTTTAGAATAAAAAAAAAATTTTTGAAAATTTTTTTTCAAAGTTGAAAAAAATTGAGAAAAAAATTTTTTTTCACGTTGCCGAAAAAGATTTGGCTTTCTAAACAAATCAGAAGTGTATAAGAAAAAAATTAGCCGAATGGGATAATTAGGGACAAAGTAAGAGCAAAAATTCCAAAAAATTTATTAAAAAGAAAAAATATGTGTGCAAATTTAACATGAAAAAAAATGCAAAAAATTTTTTCTTCATGACGCCCTTATAGGTCTAAGTTTATATACTCTTTTGGAGTGTAAATCCAAAAAAATGGGCAGAATTGGATAATTGGGGAGAAAGTTAGAGCAATTTAAATTTTGACTATTGAAAAAACGCCGATTTTTAAAAAGTGTTTTTGCAAAAAAAAGGAATAAAAATTGGTTTTACGGAATTCGCACAAAGAGGGTTCATTGCAGAAAGGCCTCACGAGCCTGGCGAACCAAGTCTGAGTCAAAACGGATAATTAGGGACAAAGTTAGAGCATTTTAAAGTTGGCGAAAACCCCTCAAAAACCACAAATTTTTCAGCCTATTTTTGTCACGTTTTACAAAAAAAAAATTTTAAAAAATATTTTTTCTTTATTCGCACAAAGAGGGATCTTTGCAGAAAGTCCTAACGAGTCAGAAAAACATAGGCTGAGTCAAAACGGATGATTAGAAAAAAAGTTATAGCAATTTAAAAATAACGAAGTGTCAAAAAAACGCTTCAAAACAACCGAAAATTTAAGGGTTGAAAAAACGCCAATTTTTGGCATGTTTTGCAAAAAAAACCCCTTAAAAAATGTGTTTACAGAATTTTCACCAAAAGAGATTTTTTTCAGAAACTCCTAACGAGTCAGAAAAATGTAGTCTCAGCTGAATCGGATAATTAGAAAAAAAGTTATAGCAATTTAAAGTTGGGTATACGTTAAGTGCATTTTTGCATTTCAAAAATGGCCTGATCTAGGAGCCATTTCTAGGCATTTCTGGGCAATTTTGACGGTTATGACGTCATTTTTCAAAATTTTTTCAAAATTTTTTCTTTCTTGCCTAAATGATATTTTTCAAAATCCTTTGAACTGGAGCATCTCTGGGACTCACCAGAAGTAATTTTAGAATAAAAAAAAAATTTTTGAAAATTTTTTTTCAAAGTTGAAAAAAATTGAGAAAAAAATTTTTTTTCACGTTGCCGAAAAAGATTTGGCTTTCTAAACAAATCAGAAGTGTATAAGAAAAAAATTAGCCGAATGGGATAATTAGGGACAAAGTAAGAGCAAAAATTCCAAAAAATTTATTAAAAAGAAAAAATATGTGTGCAAATTTAACATGAAAAAAAATGCAAAAAATTTTTTCTTCATGACGCCCTTATAGGTCTAAGTTTATATACTCTTTTGGAGTGTAAATCCAAAAAAATGGGCAGAATTGGATAATTGGGGAGAAAGTTAGAGCAATTTAAATTTTGACTATTGAAAAAACGCCGATTTTTAAAAAGTGTTTTTGCAAAAAAAAGGAATAAAAATTGGTTTTACGGAATTCGCACAAAGAGGGTTCATTGCAGAAAGGCCTCACGAGCCTGGCGAACCAAGTCTGAGTCAAAACGGATAATTAGGGACAAAGTTAGAGCATTTTAAAGTTGGCGAAAACCCCTCAAAAACCACAAATTTTTCAGCCTATTTTTGTCACGTTTTACAAAAAAAAAATTTTAAAAAATATTTTTTCTTTATTCGCACAAAGAGGGATCTTTGCAGAAAGTCCTAACGAGTCAGAAAAACATAGGCTGAGTCAAAACGGATGATTAGAAAAAAAGTTATAGCAATTTAAAAATAACGAAGTGTCAAAAAAACGCTTCAAAACAACCGAAAATTTAAGGGTTGAAAAAACGCCAATTTTTGGCATGTTTTGCAAAAAAAACCCCTTAAAAAATGTGTTTACAGAATTTTCACCAAAAGAGATTTTTTTCAGAAACTCCTAACGAGTCAGAAAAATGTAGTCTCAGCTGAATCGGATAATTAGAAAAAAAGTTATAGCAATTTAAAGTTGGGTATACGTTAAGTGCATTTTTGCATTTCAAAAATGGCCTGATCTAGGAGCCATTTCTAGGCATTTCTGGGCAATTTTGACGGTTATGACGTCATTTTTCAAAATTTTTTCAAAATTTTTTCTTTCTTGCCTAAATGATATTTTTCA